ATAAGTTATTGTATTAATGATGCGAATGTCTTTATAGGTTTCTTTGATGGAACAGCCACTGATCTAGAAATCTGTACAGGTGACATACCGACTGTACATGTAGTTCATGCAGTGATTAACGCAATGGGTTTTCTTAAAGCCATATATGGCGTATGTACAATGAAAATTATTAGACTAAGATTATAAGAACTTATTATTTGCATGATTAATTTATATAAAGATAGAACTTTTCCGTAAATTACAAAATCTAAGTCAATTGCGTTGTAAAGATATCACAATTTAATTTGGATTCTCGGAATTTTCTCCGGCTCGGAAGAAAATACAAAAGATTTAAATAACACATTACAGAGATTAAGATTAAATTGTATTATTAGGTGAAACGAGGTGTTCTCCGTGTTCAGAATAGTATGAAAAGCTTTAATTTAAATGTATTAACTATATTTCTTTACTCAATTTCGTAATTTTCAAAAAAATATTTTTTTGATCAGTTACGCCATATATGGCTTTAAGAAATAAAGGAGAAAATATTCAGTGGATGTAAATATTAAGTGTTTCAGGAAAATCTGTCGACTGGATATATTTCTAGGGACTTTCTCAAAAACACAACTACATTTACTATCGGATGGTATTTATTATTGCCTTTTGCACTTTAAAAAAGCAAAGTACAAAATTACTACAATAATCTTTTCTACTTTAATTACAGTATGTGGCGAGAAATACTTCACTGAGCATTATACATACCGGTAAAAATGACACATATTTCCGCAGTCTTGTTGCCAGAGGGGGCATATCAAAATGTACAAAATATTCTTATCTTTATAGAAATCACAAAATAAAACAGTTGCTAAGAGGCTTTTTCCATACAAAAAATAGCCTAAATTAATTGCGATATTTTCAAACCCCTCTTTTTTTTTTTTAACTTTTGTGTTAAATAACTTTAGTTTACAATAATGTCACAAACACACGAGCATAAAGTACTTAAATCCATACGATGCTAAGTACATAAATCCATACGATGCTAACAAATGAAAAAACAATAATGTCTTTAATTATGTTAATACATGTAGAATGTTTAACATCTGCTTTCTTTATTTATAGCGCAAATAATGCAAGAGGCCCACGGGCTTTATAGGTCACCTGAGTATCAAGTAGCAACTTCACAACCATTGATTTTGATTCATATTTTAAACCAGAGGCCATGAAATTTACAATTTTGACAGATGTACCATTGCTTATCATAACTATACACTTAGATTGCTTATTTTGGTTACTTGGTACCCAGAGATAGGTCAGAGTAAGAAAGATAAAATGCATTTCCACTTTATAACCAGTTGTGCACTGCACACCTCAGGAACTAGTGACCTTGGGGCCAAATATTTCAAAATTTTGGAAATTTCATCATAAATGGTTGATTAATACCAAAGGGCAGATTTCAAAGCATTAATTTATTTTCAGACTATGTATCAACACCCCCCCCCCAAGTACCCCTGAAATTAACAATTAGAAAGGGCACCTTTCTTCATCATAAATATGTACTTAGATCATTGGCATAATACGAAGGAGCAAAGGAAAAGATTTTCAAAGAATTCATTCATGTTATATATACATGTGTGAAACATATTTCTCCTTCTCACCACATGGAATGGTGAATTAAAAAAATGAATTTGAACAGGACGTTTTATAATTATGTCGCCCCGAACGAAGTCGGGGACGACATATTGATATTGTACGCATGTTTTTTTTATCCAGGCTGTTTCTCGGAGATGGCTGGGACAATCTTCCTGAAACTTTCCTCAAAGGACGATCACTGGTTGTAGTTGTGCAGTGAGGTCATTCAGTTCCAATATGTCTACCGTTGCCATGGAAACCTGTAAAAAGCGACAAATTTTGTCCGAGAGTGTTCTCTCTGGTCCCTTAAACGCTCGTCATGAAACTTTTCTTATTTTAAGGATTAGTATCTGTAGTTGTGTACTTGGCATTTAAAATTTTCAAATAATTGATTATTGCCATGGAAACCAGGTGAGAGTTAAAATTCTTTAATTTCGATTTTCTCAATAACTACTCAGGCAATCGTTTTGAAACTTTCAATGTTTATTCCTTGCAATATGTCAAAGTGATTTCTACTTTCAAAATAATTGTAATGAGTCGCTCACAGTTGCCATAGAAACGAAACAGAAAAAAGATTCAGATGTACACATGTGTTCTCCAAGGTCTAGGTCAAAGGGTCAAAGTTCGTCGTATCCAATAAAAGTTCTTTGCACAAGGATTACATATTTGAAATACGAAAGCTCTAGTACTTACCGATCAAACGTTATGGCTATTTACTATGTTCAAGACGACCCCCCCCCCCCTTTTGAAGCACACAGCCAGGTAGAATACACAGATATAACATATACAACTTACAAGTAACTTTTTAAAATCTTCATTCATAAAATTCAGTTCCCGTCATGTGATATTTTGCCATCATTCATTCTCCTTCTGTTTTGTCTCTTGAATTTATAAATATTTTATTTTATCTATATAAAAAAAAATAACGATGTCAGCTGCATTTATTATCATTTCGCGTTTTCTTGTATATCTATCACTTGTATATTATTCATTTCATTAGATAGTGCAAGTATAAATTAAAAAATTGGTACGTCATTTTCATAGTTTTTATTCATTCAAAAATCTTTTGATCCGCTCCTGAAAGTTCGCGAAGCCTTGATCACCACTGTATACAAAACATTCATCTCGCCGAAAATGTTCATGATTCCGCTAAACTGAGAAAGTTTACACATCATTTATCATCTCATAACATACATCAGCTCTCTGCAATGCAGAAATACTCGAATTGATGGTGGCATGTCAGATTCGTTTTTCGGTAGAACCTCTAAAATGAAAGTGAAAGAGGGAAATTTCAGAGTTCTCACTGGCGTTACTATACACAAAATAATTCGGCTGATCTTCTTCAAAGATTACATTTCCAAGCTTTTATGATAGGAAAGATACTGCCAATTAACAAGTATGAGGCTCAGTTCAGTACATCTGCCCAATTTCTTTTATGCAATTCTGCAAATTTAGGAACTTGTAATTTTCCTGCACTACTTTCTTTCTTCCGTTTCCAACGGAAAGGACTAATACGACTCGATGGTTGTCCAAGCTTAGCTAATGGACCATTGTTTTAGTGATGATAAAAATGAAAGTCTTGTCCAGTACGGGGCGACATATGCTATTGCTTGCAATAGCAGACTTTCTAGTTTATTTTTGTTATTTAAAATATATCTTATTTCATAAAACACTTTTAAAAAATGAAAAATAAAATCAAACACAAATTATGGATAAAACCCACAATCTTCACATCTTTTGATCAAATCGAAATTGTACTACACTACATAGTGCGTGAGTTCTGTTGATTGGAACTCATACTCCATAAAGTGTACCTGGCTAAAGTTCAATTTGTAGCGGTAATGAGTTGTTTTCGGTCAAAAAATATAGCGATATTAATCGGTCAAAAATTGGAAAAAATTTAGCGGTAATGAGTTAAAACTTTTGGCAATCAAGCGGTAATATTGACCTCCCAAATTTGGAAAGTAGAAACGCAATTTATTAAATTACAATCACTTGTAATTGAAAATTTGTCCAATTTCACATTACTTTCAATTACATGTACATAGAAACTTTAAATTAAATACTGTCAATTGCCATTGTCAATTACCATTAAAAATTACTACAAACTCATCCCTGCTTGGTTAGTTTATTTAATACCCAGGAGCAGAGAAGATTTTTAAAGAATTAATGTATTTTCACTATACAATCAATAAAGCCCCACCCTAAAGCAGAAACCCCTACCCAGGGGCCATTAAATTCAAAATTTTGAAAAAGAGACCTTTTTGCTCATCATAACTATGTTCTTGATTATTTTGTTCAATAATCAGGAGCAGAGAAGAAAATTTTCAAAGGATTTATGCATTATCGCTAAATAATCAATAGACCCTCACCCTAACAACAGAACCCCTGACCCTGGGGCAATGAACTTCAGAATTTTGGAAGAGGCAGCCTTATTCAACATACCTATGTATTTGGTTAAATTATTAAAAACCCAGGAGCATAGAAGAAAATTCGCATTTTAACTATTTAATCTATATAGCCCCGTCCTAGCACTAAATCCCCTGACCCTGGGATCATTAGGACTTAAAGCTAATTACAATTATGCCAACAGTTTGGCTGCTTGATGTCCAGGGGTAAAGGAAAGGTATTTTAAAGATTGCATTTATTTTAGTGGTTTTGTCCCCACCCCTCACGCCCTAGGGGGGGGGGGAGAGACCATGAAATTTATTATTTCTGTTCCCCTTTACCGAGATATGTTTTGTGCCAAAATTGGTTGAAATTGGTTGAGTGGTTGTAGAAAAAACTGAAAATGTTCAAATGTTAACGCACGATGGGGGACGAAAACGGATAGCAAAAGGTCACCGGACTGACTCAAAAAAATGGTATAACACCTTTGAGTTCCAAGGTTAGTGTGCGAGGAGCTCCGAGTTGGGAGTACTACAGCAGTATTCTAGCCAGATCACTAGGATTACATAAGATTTGAACCAGATACATCATGAAAATGCTATGTTTTTAATATTTTAGTAGAATTCTATTGGTTTAACTTAGTGAACTTATTAAAAATTTATTAAGTAAATCATTTATCACATTTTCATCATAACTGTAGTTCAAGCACTCCAATTTCATCTTTTTGCATTAATGATATTATTATTTTTTTTACTAAATCTTATTGATTTATATCATATACATAAGAAACAGTATTTTTGATGTCTAAGTCTGTCTGCTCATTCATACCTAAAACAATTGTCATTGAATGTAATACTCTAGCTCTTACTGAAAATTTATGTTGATTTTTTTTTAAAAATGATAAATTTAAAGCTGGACTAAGGTGACCCTTGTTAGTGTTATGGCCCATTTACCACTTTATTTTTATTTTTATTTAAACCACTGCAGAGTCATGAACACGGAAGATGAGATGTATTTAACAATGATCCTTTTCTTTCTTTCTTGGAAATTGTTAGTTATTACTTATTCACACAGGAATATAACTGATTGAATTGAGCGATTATTACACGTAGGCCAGTAATAAACTGTAGAGCAAGCATGTATTGACAGAGCATAGCATATTGCTCTTCTGTGATTATGGAGTTGCAGATATTGTTATTCATTTGGATTCTTCCGTTTCAAGCCACAGCAAGTAAGGCGGACTTTTTTTTGTTTCAATTCACCAACTGATTGAAAAATGTTTATGTTATTTTTTACTAAAACATTCAAGACGGGTCAAAAATCAGTATCAATATTTTCTTTTTATAGGTTTATGTTTATTTGTGTTTACTTTATATTCTATAAAATGGAGTAATTCTAAGTGATATGTAAAACATGTAGTAGAGACTCCTACGTTTTACTAAGCATAACTCTTTTAAATTTAACCATAGCTTAGATGTGTGTGGATTTCTGACTGGACGTTCACATTCAATGAATTAATTTGTGTATTTATATTATTTAATCAAAATCTAAATTCACTTTACCGTTTGTTTGTGAAAGTTCAGTGGTTGAACATATCTAGAATGGGTAATGAGTGGAGATAGTATTTTTGATTCTGATTTGACTAGAAACTTGACAATTAATGATTGTCGGAAAGTAGTAGGTCCTTTTAATTGGATAACATTTAAAATTAACAGCTTACAAGACAAAGTACTCTTGCTGCTGTTCTAGGTATAACTACAGCTAAAGGGGTCAATCAACATTAGAAAAATTAATCAAAATCAAAATAAAATTATTTACATATCATGAAAAATACCGTTTTTTTACAATGAAAATCAAAACTATGACTTTAATGAAATAATAAATATTACCCATAACGTAAATTTCCAAAGAAGGCATACTATTTTCTCGTTCTTTAACTATTAAATGTCGCATTCGAATATTGTTGATTTGTCATTTAACATATTTAGATTTAGAGAGGCAGTATATCTATGTACAAAAGGATATGACATGGACTGAAGCACTTGATTATTGCGCGCGGAATAATTCAGTGATATCTGCTCTCAGCAACAAAGATTTAACATCTATAAGGGCATGTAACCAGAGCACTAAAGAGTTATGGACAAGTTCTTATGTATATGCAACCCCTTATATATCAATAATAGGTGAGTTAATAGATTGTATAAATATAGCCCTTTCATTAGGTCGAATAATTATATGGATCGACCTTATTTAAGGGATACACATAATTATACATTTCTGATATGATTTTTTAGAGAAATTAACAAATGAAATTTGAGAATAATATGAACAAGCCAGGTTTCCCCCTCAACCTTTTTTTAACACAAACTCAAGATAAAAAATTAACTTTTTATTTTAATTGCGTTTCCATTTTATGGAATAATTTAGGGAATGTAATAATTTGAAGGACTACATTTTCTTAATTAATTATACATTGTGATTTATTTTAAAAAATTATTTAAAGTAGATTCCTATTCAAGGCATTGTAACATCCAACCAATTATTACAGAACATCCTAATTAAAAGGGTTTTTTTTTTCAAAAACTGTCAAGTCAGCATTTTTGTTACATGTATATCCATTTCTTGAATTTTCAAGTTGATATGCTTTTCAGAATCTATAAATAGTTACACAAGTCTATATGCTGTTATTTACTTGATCATGTGATCAAGATACATATTTGATCATATGATCAAGTTTAAACTAATCAGATAACACAGAATCATAGAGAAAAAAATATCATGGAATATATTAACTAAGGTCAAATTTTATATTGTAAAGTCAGTGATTCGAATACATTTATAATTACTCAAAATTTGGAGATAAAGATAAAATCGTTGTGACTCTATAAACTGTGCATGTTTTTAAAAAAGGAAAAATACATTTCTTTTCCTCCAAATAGAAACCCAAATGATTCTCCAGACTCGGAAATCCATAGGCGGGGGGTGTGGGTGCCCAACTTCTTTCAGTTCATAATTTTACTCATACACGATTACATTACCCTTATTTGACTGTACAGCAACAAAAACTTTGTTTGGGGGGTATAAACGCCATCTCAATGAACATCAATATTAGAAAGTTATTTATGGAAAACACGGAGGGGGAGGGCAGATCTCCTCCCCCTGTTGCTACATGGCCGCTGTTCATATTTAATACATTGTATCTAACTAGATAATATCAATTTTTTCAGTGAACTTTTAATATTATTGCAGCATCTGATTTTATAAATAAAGTACCTTTTCAATTTCTAAAAAGGTTGCTTCAGAAATACAACTGCAACAAGTTTAAACTTCTCGAGTCTTCTGAAACCCTCGATACTGGATTGTCAAGATCTGTGTTCTTCCTCATCTTTGTTTGCTATCATGGTAATTTAAATTATACGTAGAGGTTTATGTTATTTGATATTAATTGAATTTTTAAAAAAAATCTAAAACACGAACATTTTAAAGATTACTTTCTTAACAACAGGAGAAACTAACATGTCATTTGATTGTAGGATAAGAAGTGTGCTTGTTTAGATAACATAAACAGTGCCGTTGAGATCACAGATGCCTATTTATGTGACGTTCCATGTGATGGTCCTTTTTGGTGTGGAGGGAAAGACAGCATGAATGTGTACTCCGTCGGTAAAATACTTATTTTATTGGATTAGGACAAATTGCTATCTTTTTTTGTCCGTCATTGTGCAGGCTGGAGATTTGTCTCATGCGTTAATTATAATATGACATATTTCAACCGTTCTCGAGAACCAGTGGACAAATTTTAATCAAACTTGCCACGGTGTCTTTGGTTGATGAAGCTCAAGTCAATTCAAATGAAGGTTTGTTCCCCTTTTTCAAAGAAAAGATAATTAAGAAAAAGACAAAAAAAAAATCATATAAAAATTATTATCTCATGAACGTCTCGACAAGAAGATATGAAACTTTTTAAAAAAAAAGCTTTCTGACTTAGTGTATATAGATTCAAGGTTATTGAAAAATGAGACCCAAATGGGGAATTTAAAACGGTTCTACAGATGAGGGTAAGAATTTACGTGGAAAAAGTATTAAGGTAGGATTCTTCTCATATTTCTAACATTTAAAATTAATGAAATTTTCTCAGAATCAAGAAGACTATATCAGTAAGTGATAGTATCAGTGAAATTAAATTTAACCGTTTTATATTAGAGGCAAGGTAAGGTCAAGGTCATTATCTTTTTCTTTGACATTAATAATAAAAAAAATTGCCAATCATGTGATACCTACTTCTATTTCAAAAGTTAAATGATTGTACGTTCTTTTTGCATAAAAACATATTACTATATCAGGTGTATAGCATGAAGTTACCAAATTTACATAAATAATTTAACTAAACTGGATGTTGGCTAATCCGAATTTTCTGTTTTTCTTCATTATTTAAGACAAATTAGTTATTTTCACATGCTTCCTATATTTAACTTTTTCTTATTTTCACATATAATAAAGTAGTCTTATAAATGTACAAAATGATACAAAAATTAAAACTTTTGATCGTTTACTAAGAGAAAAAAAATACTTTTTATGGATTTTTGGCTCAAATCTGAACTTTTATAGGAAGTGTTTTAAAGCTAACAAAGTTCTAGTTGTTTGAAAAATCATATTTGTTTAATATATTTTGTAAATTTAGTCCCTCATTATTAATTAAACTTATATTGAAAATTTCTCGAAGTCTTCAATTGTGTAAAAATTACAATTAAATTCATTGTTCTATTATAATTTTTAGAGGCAGAAAAGAAGATATTTTCATACGCCACCATTCCGCCAAAAACATAGTCCCTACTAGTTTTCAAACGCAGTTTACAATTTCTATTTAAAGTTGTACAATTGTGATGAAGAAAGAAAAATATGGTCTTTTAAATTCCTTACACCTCAATATATAAGACATAGAAGCATATAACTTTGAATGTTTCATGTAGTCAGAAACCCGAGAAGAATCCTACCTAAAATGAAATCTTTAAAAATCTTCTCAAGAATCTATCATTTGTTGTATTGATATGGAAGCATCCTCAAGAAGTGCAGGTACAATTTTGTTCAGATCTTGACCCTTCGGTGGTGGTGGGGAGGGTTGTGCCCACATAATATAAGAGATTAAAATTTAATATAGGATTAGGTAGGAAAAGGACTTTATTCGGTAATAACCGATATTTGCCCCCCAAATCAAACTTTGATGGAGATATATTATATTAAGTTCTTAAAAAGGGGAGTATATGGGGAGTATATGCTGACTTCAAAGCACTGAATATTTTCATAAACAATGACGCCATATGTACGTAATGACGTCAAAAACATGACGTAAGTTTCAGTTTTTAGCTCACCTGAGCTGAAGGCTCAAGTGAGCTTTTCTGATCACATTTTGTCCGGCGTCCGTCTGTCCGTCTGTCCGTCTAGCTGTCTGTCTGTCTGTAAACTTTTCACATTTCCGACTTCTTCTCAAGAACCACTGGGCCAATTTCAACCAAACTTGGCACAAAGTATCCTTGGGTTAAGGGGATTCACGTTTGTTCAAATGAAGGATCACGCCCTTTTCAAAGGGGAGATAATCATGAATTTGTTAAAAATTAATGGCATTTTTAAAAAATCTTCTTCTCCAGAACCGCTGGGCCAGGAAAGATGAAACTCATGTGGAATCATCCTCAGGTAGTGTAGATTCAAGTTTGTTAAAATCTTGACCTCCGGGGCTAGGGTGGGGCCAAAATGGCCGACCCGAGATTTACAGAGGAATATAGTGTAGATTCAAGTTTGTTCAAATCATGACCCCCGGGGCAAGATGGGGCCAAAATGGCCGACCCAAGTTTTACATAGGGATATATAGGGAAATCTTTTAAAATCTTCTTTTCAAGTACTTCAACGTCATGCTTAGTGATATTTATAGGGAATCTTCCTCAGGTAGTGTAGATTCTAGTTTGTTCAAATGATGAACGCCTGGAAGGGGGGGGGGGGTAAATTCAAGCCCGATGTGCTCAGGTGAGCGCTGTGGCCCCTGGGCCTCTTGTTATGAATTTTACAGAAAAATGTACATATTTCGTCGATATTTTGAGTAAAAGTCACCGAGTGCATGTGTGTTCAGGATCAATATTTTGATATAATGTGTAGAATGATAATATCAATGAAATATGTCAATATTGTTCCTGAAAAAACTTGCACTCTATAAATTTTAAAGCTAAAATTGTTGAAATTTTGTCCATTTTGTCCATTTTGTCCTCTTTCTGAAAAAGGATATAAAATCGGACTAGTTTGTGACGTCATAAAAACAAAAATTGTGAATACACTGTTTTGACACTATAATATTTTCTGTAAACAATATTTCTCATACAATTTCTTGAATTCAGCACATTTCAGGAAGTTTTCAAATTTTGACTTTTGTGGGGGCAAATATATGTAATATACCGCATATAGTTCTTCAAAAAATATATTTAAAAATCTTCTGTTAAAAAATAGCATAGCCATCGTTAGTCATATTTATAAATGTACACGGAATCATCAGTGTAGATTCAAGGTTGTGCAAATCCTAACCCCCTGGAAGCAAGATTTGTTAACGATGCACAATAATTTAACAAGTTTCCTTATGAAGTGTAGATTAATGTTTGAATTAATGACCCACAGAGAGGCTTGGGTTTTAAAACACGAATAAACAAAATTAGAAGCATGCTAAAAAAGTCTGAAATCATTATCCACGGTGTACGGTTTAAAAAGAATTAACTTTAGCCATTATAGGTAATATTAACATGTAAACATCATCAACATGCAGACTCGATTGAAGTTTGTTGAAACAGACTTCCCCAGGAATAAGGCGGAACATTTTGAGAGATCAATGCTTACATTGAATATGCAAGAAAATTATTTAAAGAATAATGCCATGATTGATCATTTAATTAATATCAGAAGCATCTTCAGATAATGAGATTAATACTTATCTAATTTGATTCTCGCTATGCCACCCTACACTACAGGTCATTGGGAACACATGTTTAAGAAGTTTTAATCAGTTCCAAGTTGTCCCTACATTGTAATCATCTAAAAAACTCAAATTACTCAGGTGATCTTGGAAAAAACCTAAAGAGATAAAATGTCATAATTTCTACGATTGCAGTTGAAGATTTTTTCAGTAGAAGACAACGTTTAGCAAACCCAGATTTTACTTCTTGTGTGTCATACCAATGTGTTGATAACAGATATGTTTACAAGGAGGTGGACTGTAGCTCTGAAAATATATCAGAAGCAGCTTGTAGTAAGTAATATATATGTTGTTTGTTAAAAGAGAGAGAGAGGGGGGGGGGAGGGAAGTTTTAATTTACATATGTAATTTACATATGTACATGTATAATCCATACCGTATTCATACCGGCTTCTAAAGTTCTTTTCAATCATTTCTCTTTCAGGTACCTTTTTTTCTTGCACATTTGAGCCTGGAGAACCATGTTTTCTCTTTCAAGCGAAAAACGATGAACATGATTGGACAATTACTGTCGTATGTATAGATGTTTATTATTTCATTCTCCTTTTTGAAACCTATTCCTTATGAGGTTTTACACAAGAGGAGAAAAATTATATCACTTTAGGATAACCTTTCTTCTTTGACAGAAGAAAATATAAACATTCCTTTTCAAAAATCATATAAGTTTAACTTAAGGAAATAATTGTCAGTTATCTTGGCAGAGCAGCACAGGTATTGGACCACAGGAAGCTTATCAAGGATCATACTTTGCATTCGTTAATGACAGCAGTGGTACCTATAAGCAAGGGAGTCGAACAACTCTTGGGTCAAATATAGACTTTCCTGGTACGTTTTAAGTATGTGTTTTCATAGGTCAATATAAATCTCAGTTTAAGGATAACCTCATTGCAGAACTTATGGATATTCATATCTGTTATTGACTGAGAAAATATATAGATATGGAAAATGTAAACTTCTAGCAATTAATATATAAATGTATACATATTTCACACGTCTGCTGGTTGTAAAAGATTTCAATTTATGTGAAAAAAAATTGAAGACCACTACGCTCGCAACACACGGTGCAGCAGCATTTAACTTATACCAAAGAATTTTATAAATCTGTACTGGATACCAGTATATTACTCCCTCTCAACAACTTCTCGAGTTTAGAGTCATGAAGCCTTGGAATTAAAGGCTCCTCAATTTTTATTGTATAGAGATAAGAAGAATGTGTTTACATTCTTTTGATACCTTATCTGATAAAAGATATTGTGTGATTTGTCATCAACATTTCCTTATTCTGTTTTTGGCAAAATTCTGATTACAGACTCCAAAGACAGTGACTGGTGTTTACGGTTTTGGACCTTTCTCCCAAATACTAGTGATGTTGGACGCCTACAAGTTTACACAGAGAAAACTGGTGAAAAATTGTTTATTAAGAACTTTACCAACAGGCAAGATGCCGAATGGAACTATGCCGAGTTTGATATCCAGGTTCACAAAAACGATAGAGTAAGTTTCCTAGTCGTACGAGGCATGTTTTAATCGAGACAATATTTCTTTAAATTTTTTTGTAATTTTATTCTTTAAAATAGTAAACAAAACTAAAGCTGTGTGTCATATTTTGAACAATAAATTAATGATGTATTTCCTTGTTGATCAGATATTGACCAAAAACGCATTTAAAATGGGATTTCGTATTTTTCCGCGATAATTGAGTCCTTTAATCTATTAATATATATATATATATATATATATATATAAGACCTGGAAATTCATCAGGTGGGATCAGGTGGCCAGGTGGAGAAAGTATACCTTTGACAGCTCGTACCGGCCACGAGTCCTATGTATTGGTCAGGTGGGCGGAACTTTCCATGGTCATTTCGTTATACAAATACATGTATTTTGTTAACTCTTTTCAGATTTTCTTTGAATCAGTTCGAGGTGTAAATGGATCACATTTTGCAGTAGATGACATTACGCTTATAAAAGGAAAATGCAGTAAGATTTTTTTCAATCTTTTATTAATTTCATATAAATATTATAATTTTGAAGCCTTTTTATTCTTTTGATAAAACTTAGAATTTACCATACCAGGTATACATTTAATGGATCATTTTAATATGCACCACCGGCGAATGGTCTGCTCAGTCTTTTTTAAAAATCTTTTCGAGCTTAAAATATATTTCTTTATACAGAAGAGAAATATTTTTTTGTTGAGGATCTAAATTGAATTTGATGTTTTGTCGTGTTGGACGGTGATATCGTACAAAAATGGCGTACAGCAGATACAATTTTACATACATGTAGGCTCTAAATTTAAGTATTTTTAAAAATATCAAATAAAAGCTAGAGCAATATATTTAAACAATGTACAATACTTGCAATGGGGATTGATAGAAGAATTTTTATTTATTTGAATTGCTGACATGATCAACATTTGTTATTCTAGCTTTTATTTGATATCAATAAATTGAGTGTGAATGATTTGAAACATATTTTATCTTGTTGTAGGAAACACGCATTCGAGTGTTTTATACATGACGGGGGAAGTAAAATGTAATTTTGAAGGGAACAAAGACATTTGTTTTGATCAAGACCAGAAAGATAATTTTGACTGGATAATCGCACGGGTATGATATAAGCTTTTAAAAAGTGTCTTAAGGTAAAGAGTGAGGTTGACTTAGGGTTTTTGGCCTGTAAAAGTGCCTAGTTTTTAATAACAATGGTGTATTTATCACTTAGACCATTGATGACCATGTATCCATTGAACAGGACGCAATTTTATCCATGCATTATGATGTCATGAAATACGTCAATTTTGTCATATCCTGTAATTAAAATTGCTTTCAATTTTTTTTTTGTTTACGTAATACTGTTTTTCTTTCATCCTTCTATTGTTATTATCATCAATAAGACAATAGTAGAAGTGTATCTGTGATGTGAAGTATCTTTATTTGTAAGATCTCGAATTACACGTTGAACAATGTTAATCGCCCTAGTCGTCAGAGTAACTATTTGATAATCAGCAAAGCTAATACATAGGATATTCGTATACTTTTTTTTGCACAGAATGAACAAAAGATAAGAGACCAAAAAACCGGACCGATGAGCAGTATAGAAGGAAACTATTACAGCTATATCAATACAAGTGACGACAAGGAACGAAGAAATTCTAAAGCTGTACTTATTTCCAAATTTTACTTAACAGGTATATTCTAAAAAAAAATCAAAATAAGTTAATTGATGATTTTAAGTAATCATTCCACAAGCATAAATGTCGGAATGCAGTTTTGCAATGCATGGGATGTGTTTTTAAGTAACGTTTTTCGAAAAAAATTTTGTCCGGTATATGCAGAGCTAAATGTCCAGTTTACATCTACATGTATCTCACTCTGACATCAATGTAAACTGAACTTCCTTATTTTCTTTACCAGTAATGAATAAATCGAATTGACTTTTGATTTTGAATGTGAAAACAATGAGGGTTGAATATAGCAATTTTAAATACATATTTTTCCATATGGTATTTACTTTTATGAACTTTGGACAGTAAAATTTTTGTCTGTTTCCCTAAACTTCGCTTGGGGGGGGGGGGTTATAATTTATGCATTTTCACTATATGATCAATAGAGCCCCGCCCTAACACCAGAACCCCTGACCCTGGGGCAATAAAATTCACAATTTTGGAAGAGGCACTCTTGATCAACATAACTAATTACTAACATAGTTTATTTAATACCCAGAAGCAGAGAAGATTTTCAAAGAATTGATGTATTTTCACTATATGATTAATTGAGCCCCGTCCTAACACTAAAACCCCTGCCCCTGGGGCAATAAAATTCACAAGTTTGGAAGAGGCACTCTTGATCAACATAACTATTTACTTACATAGTTTGTTTAATACCCAGGAGCAGAGAAGAAGATTTTCAAAGAAATCATGCATTTCCACTTATTAATCTATTTAACCCCGCCCTAACACTAGAACCCCTGACCCTGGGGCCATGAATTTCACAATTTTGGTAGAGGACTCAATGCTCATTATATGCATGCCAATTAATTAGTTTGCCTGCTTGATGTCCAGAAGTAAAGAAGAAGAATTTTAGTGGTTTTGGCCCCACCATCCAGGCCCAAGTGGGGGCGGGGACCATAAAATTAACAATTTTTGTTCCCCTTAACCCATAGATGCTGTATACCAAATTTAGTTGAAATTTGTAAGGTGGTTTTAGAGAAGAAGCTGAAATGTTTAAATGTTAACACGACACACGACGACGGACGAAAACGGATGGCAACAGGTCACCTGAGTTACTCAGGTGACCTAATTATGGAATCCTTAAAATATTGTTTACTTTAGACTTTAATCATAGATATGATTTAAAGAAGGCGCCCATTCTAATCATAGATATAATTTAAAGAAGGCGCCCATTCCATATCCATATTAGATAAATGACGTTCCAAAGACAGAGGACATGGTTTGTGTTGGCCACCATGCTCTTCTTATAAACCCATCCTACATGTATTCCAGAATTATGTCATCTCTGAGAATAACTAGACTGTTCTTTTAATAAAAATATAACTTGCATGGTAGGAAATGTAAGACTCGAAAAAAAGTTTTGCTAATGTAAACAAAAACTACGCATTGGCATAACGGTGACAGATGTTCATTAATTTGGGAGAGGACAACTATAAAAAAAATAACTAACACTGAAACCTAGTTTTAATTGTTTTAGGGATGTTATTCAATAAGTTCGCAATCTTTTTGGTCGTCCCTCGTATTTAAATGTTAAGTATTTAGATTACAATTGAATACTGATCTATTTAAATAGAAAAAGTTAATACATGTCCTCTTGATCACTGAGGCTAAGACATTCCTTGAATCAAAAGTGTGTCGAAGTTTTCCACAGCTATATCATATTTTACACGTAGCTTTTGTAATAATTTTATTAAATAATCCCGTAACCAGGGAAATGCATTTTCTACGTGCAATTAAAGGTCACCCTAGCTTGGTCACCTGAATAGGTGACCTATTGCTTTTTGTTTTTGTCCGTCGCCGTGCGTCGTGCGTAAAAAAACATTTTCAGCTTCTTCTCTGAAACCACTGAACCAATTTTAACCAATTTTGGCATATAGCATCTATATATAAAGATGAACAAAAATTGCGAATCTCATGGTCCCTGCCCCCTTGGGGCCTGAGAGGTGGGGCCAAAACCACTGAAATTAATGCAATCATTAAAAATCTTCTTTAATCCTGGACATCAAGCGAATAGTTTGATTGTAATCAGCATTGAATTTTTAACTAAAATTGTGAAATTCATGGCCTCAGGGTCAGGGGTTATAATACTAAGACAGTGCCAGGGGTTCTATTAGCAGGGAGGGGCTATAAAGATTATAAAGAGAAAATGCATAAATTCTTTAAAATTGTTTTTCTCTGTTTATGGGCATTTAATCAACTAACCAAGTACATAGTTATGATGAATAAGCCTCTTCCAAAATTGTGAACTCTATGGCCCCAGGGTGGGAGGTTCTTGTGTTAGGGTAAGGCTGTATTGATTATATAGTGAAAATGGATCAATTCTTTAAAAATCTTCTTTTCTGCACCTTGGTATTGAACCAATGAACTATGTACATAATTATGATGAGGAAGGATGACTATTTAAATTTTGTGAATTTCAAGGCCCCTGGGTCAGGGCTTTTTGTTATGCGGGGCTCTAATGCTTACATAGTGAAAATGCATAAATTCTTTGAAAATCTTTTCCTTTGCTCCTGGGTATTATGCCAATGATCTTATTACATATTTATGACTAAGAGAGCTGCTTCTTCCAAAATGGCTAATTTCCGGGCCCATGGGAAGGTACATGTACTTGGTGGAGGGGGGGGGGGTTACATAGTCTGAGAATTATTTATTGCTTTGAAATCTGCGCGTTGGTATTAATCAACAACATGATGAAATAAAATTTTTAAATTTTGCAAAATTTTGAAAGATGTGTCCCCAGGGTAAGTGCTTCCTGTGGGATGAGGTTCACAACTGATAAAGTGGAAATGCATTTCCTCTTCGTTACTCTTTCTTGAATAAGGATGCCTCATCCAAAATTGTGAATCTCGTGGCCCCAGGGTCAGGGGTTCTATTGACAGGACTGGGCTATAGAGATTATATAGCGAAAATGAATAAATTCTTTGAAATTCTTTTTCTCTAGCTAGATCTGTTCGTTGGCATAAAATGAACTAACGAAGTGCATTGTTATGTTGAAAAGGGTCGCCTCTTCCAAAATTAGGAATTTCATGGCCCAAGGGTCAGGGGTTCTAGTGCTAGTAATTTATTAAATTAAAAATACTTTCACTTTTTCTTCAATAAAATTACATGCTTTCTAAGACATATTATTAATTAAATAACAATTACTTTGCAAAAATAATTAATTACAAATTACATTTTTTAATTATTTTTTTATTTTTTAAATCCTCGTCGGTGAATATACAGAACAACATTCATTTGTATACAGGCTCAGCCTCTGCAATTAATACCGTAACGTGTATGATCGGGTTCTACAAGGGATATATATACAGTATAAAGCTTTTCTCTTACTCTGTCTGAGTTAATGATTGGACTAATAATTGTAGGGCCGCTCTATCTGAGGGAAAATCACAATTAAAATTTTTGCAATCTAGAGACGTGGAATGGGTATTGCTACTGCACCGTGTTTCACACTAGGTTCCTTTGATAGGAAAGAACTGAGTGTCTCAATCTTCTGCAGATTTACTGCACTCAGAACTTACCATCAATTCCCTAAATTACCTGTCACTGGTGCTTATTCTATTCTTCCTATTGTACTATTGTACTAGATACTACTTGGTTGGTTTTATTCCCGGTTTGAGTCTCTGTGCCAGTCTTTGGTTCACCGTTTAACTCGGATTTCTGTATCCTCTCATTAGTTTGTTGAAGCTTTACGAAGCAGTCTTTAATTCTATGACCACACTTCCCGCAGGTGTAACATTTATATGGGAAAGCATTTGGTTTTAATGAATGATAAGAACATGCGTAAGCGCATATCAAAATCTGTCAATGCATCAACAAACTGATCCTTGGCAATCATCTCAGTGACTTCCCTTGGTGCTGTCGGGTAAGCTAGGTGAGTCAAGCGTCTAATACTCTCACCGAGCTCCGGTAATGTCTCGGACACCTTTTGTCGTTTATCTCTCAGCATTGCCCGATATAACTCTGTTTGATTGGCTGGTGTAAAGCAGTCTTCCAGTGCGTTACATAAATCCATATATGTACAAGCCGTACCTCCCTTCATGTTACCAAGGACGCTCTGTGCTTGTCCTCTTAATAACGCTGCAAGATATAAACTTTTCTGGCGCGCACTCCACATGTTTATATCGCTACATACCTCAAAGTGGGCTTTATAGTCGTGGGTTCCGTCGTATGTTGCTGGTTTCATTATGTTTTTACCATTAAAAAACCTCCTGCATCATTATTTTGTGTGCCCTGCGTACTCATATTTGGGTTTTGATGGTATCCATTATGAGAACCATGTCCAGTTCCTATCCCTGTCGTCCAGGTCACACTAGTTGTCGCTGTTGAAGCACTTGGAGAACACCAAGAGAACAAAGGTGTGGATCGTGCCTCGGAAAACACAGGTTGCCTAAGTGAACTTTTCCTCAGCGAGTCATATTTACTGGCCCCTCTCATGTCCCTATGTTCATCCTCATACAGCGTGTAACTTGCTTGTGGGTAATCTACATGACTTAAGATGTCTCTCATATTAATTGTACCCTCTGTACCACAGTTACTGGCTGATTTTGATGTCAATTCATACAAACTACTTTCTAATAGTTTGTCTCTAACATCTACCCCAGTGTCTGGTACTACGTTGATCTTGTAGTCTGGGGTGTCGACTTCATCCTATTTAATGTTTCTCTCAATTTTTCTCTCTTAGCATCTACTGCACTTAAATCAGCGTACAGCTCTGCTTCTATATTATCCATACTCATTCAATGTTCACAAGACCTAAGGCTGTGACACTTGACACACAGTGCTCTGTTTCAATAGATTTTATTACTCTAAACTCAAGTATAATATATATGGTAAATCGAGAACCCGGTAATACTGCATCTGGTACCACTTCACTTGGTACACAATACCTGGTATTACTACTTTGCTTCACAGTACTTGGTAACACTGAACCGAGTTTCCAGCACCCGGTATCACTACTTCGTTTCACAACACTGCTTAAGGATATACGATCCTCAGCCAGGAAGGATAACTCTTTTATTTATAATTTATTTCAAAAAGTCTTCAAATAAAGCTTGAAATTGATTTTTTTTATGCAACAATTTTCATTTTACGCTTCTACGTATGATTCAATGTTCTTTAAAGTTTTAACAAACGGTATTAAAAAAGTTGACATTTGTACCTAATAAAATTAAGTAAAACTTGCATATTTAAAAAAAATCAGATTTCATTTAATGTAGCCTTAGTTACAAATGTTTATAAGCATGATTTAAAATTAAAAGTGATTTATGATGTTTTCTTTGAAAGGAAACATTTCATACACTATGCATTATGAAACGATGGAAGTAAGTAGGAGAAAGTAAAGTACCAAATACGTGTAAAATTCATGCAATTTTCTTTAAAAGCCTGGATACCTATGATTTTTATTCCTAAAATGTATTTCTTGATCAAGTATCAATTCAAAAATATGCAGTGGGTAGTTCAATCGCATTTCCTGGAAAATTATTTGAGATTTACTAATTTTCCCTATATAATATGATTTAATTTAAAGATGAAATTAAAAGAACACCGTGGGTAAATAGGGACTAAATACATTTTAATTTGAGAATTTAGAGACATCTCTGTGAGCATTTTCAATTACTCAATGCCTGATTTTCAGAACCTGAGGATCGGATAACCTTAACACGGTACACAGTTTAAAGCAACAAGTGTCAGTAAATTTATACTAAAGCACCCGGTATCACTTCTTCAGTGTACCTGGTGTCAATATTGATGTTAACAAATGTTAACAAAGTAAAGTAGACGACAATAAAAAGTTAATCAGAAAAAGCCGTGTCCTTTATCCCTTGACTTGATGCTACCAAAATGTAACGTGTATGATTGGGTTCTACAAGGGATACATTGTATATGTACAGTATAGAGCTTTTCTCTTACTCAGTCTGAGTTAATGATTGGACTAATAATTGTAGGGCCGCTCTATCTGAGGGAAAATCACAATTAAAAAGTTTTGTTATCTAGAGACGTGGAATGGGTATTGCTACTGCACCGTGTTTCTACACCAGGTTCCTTTGATAGGAAAGAACTGAGTGTCTCAATCTTCTGCAGATTTACTGCACTCAGAACTTACCATCAATTCCCTAGATTACCTGCCACTAGTGCTTATTCTATTCTTACCCTTTACTTCTTTTAATGACTTTCTCTTTCAGCCTTCTTATAATTACTTCGGCCGTAACCTTCTGAATGCATTACTACTTTATACTTTTCTCTCAGCTTCTGATTCATCTATTGGCTTCTTCAGCCAACTTCTGAAAGCCTGATTTCCCTAAAACATCGCTTTATATACCCTTGGACTATTCTATTCCAAGGGTAGTCAGGTCATTCCATTATTCATTACTAGTATTTAAGGTCTTCTATGCGTTTATTCAAACGCCTCTTAACCATTACAATACAAGAAAAATGATATAGGCATTTTGTATCTTTGTGATTTAATTTATAACTTAAATTTACAAAACATTAAAGAAATACCAGGTATCCCTGATCAGTTTGATGGAGTTTTTCCAAGCAAAACCTACATGGACCAAATTGCATGGCTTATGATACCGGTATTTGATTAATAGGAGGTATCTGAATAGAGTAAAATGATTTGCAATTGTAACCCTTAAATTAAACATTAATTTTCTGAATCTGAACATCCTATTTTGTAGATGTTAAAATAATAATAAAATTGAACGTTTTTCTTTTCTAAGGTTGGCCGAGCATTTTCTATTTGAAATAATTATCTCCATTGGCTTTGTCTTCTAAGTCATGGAGTCGCCCGCGCGGCGCAAAGGTTAGAGCGTCTGCTTGAGAAGGAGTCAATCCTTACGTCGCGGGTTCGAATCCCACTGTGGGACGTGGAGACCGGTCGGATGAGACCTACATATGTATAAAAACCGAGGCCCCCTGTCGCAGTAGGTGCTGGCATGAAAAAGATCATTAACTGCTCAAAGGCCCTGAGTGCCGAGCAAAGGACAAAATTTGTAGCCCTCCACCGGCAAGTGGTGGCGTCTCCATATGAGTTAAAAATTCTCGAGAGGGACGTTAAACAGCATACAATCAATCAATCTAAATCATGGATGAATGAATACCTCCTTAGAGGAGTTATGTTTTACTGAAATTTATAGCTGTGATTTGGATGGCAATTTTTTCTTCCCAAAAATGAACTTAATTATGACACACACAATCTCTTTCTTTATTATTGTTCAAACAAGAAAAATTGAAAAATAAATTATTTGTGCTTCAAAACGAATACACCTTAGAGGGGTGGTACAAAATTTAGATAAATCTGTAACAAAAAATAAAAATTGACATTATGATTAGAAAGAAACAAGATTATTATTATCAAACCAATCATCTATTTGTTTGTAAGCATTAACTTAATAAGTTTTTTTTTATAATTTATAATCAAATAACTGTGGATATGTTTAACAATTAGATAACAAACAAGTAAAATGGGGAAGTAGTCGTGACAATATACCATAAATGTGTATCTATAAAGTAATTGAATGTAATTGAAAAATTAATTGAATTAACATGGTAATTTTTCACTGTAATTAATTAGATTACAATTGAAAGTAATTGAAAAAAAAAGTTCAGTTACAAATCACTTCCAATTACTTTAGAAAATGTAATCAATTACAGTTAATTATAATTACTTTTTTCAATTACCCAATCCCTAGGCCTGCTACTGAATTTTAAATCAACCAAGTACATAGTTATGTTGAATAAGGCTGCCGTTGCCAAAATTGTGAATTTCATAGCCACTGGGTGGGGGGTTCTAGTGTTAGGGTTGGGCTCTATTGATTATATAGTGAAAATAGATCAATTCTTTTAAAATCTCTTTTCTGCACCTTGGTATTGGACCAATGAACTATTTACATGTATAGTTTTGAGGAGGGAAGATGCTTCTTTGAGATTTGTGAATTTCGGACCCCTCGGTTAGGGCTTCTTGTGTTATGCGGGGCTCTAGTGAAAATTCATGAATTCTTTGAAAATCTTTTCCTTTGCTCCTGGGTATTATGCCAATGATCTCATTACATATATATGACGAAGGAGCTGTTTCTTCCTAGTTGCTGAACTGTACATGTAGCTCTTTGCTTAAATTAAAAACGGACAGATAAAGCAAAGAGCTACAGATCCAAGCGTTGTAAAAACCTTCGATTTACGCCACGATTTTTGTCGTTTACTTCGGGGATTTTTTCTTGTTTATTATACTTTTTTCAGCTTTAAAAATGGTATATAATACTTTATCATACATTTAAACTCATGTCTGTTCCTGATAATTTACTCACCTTTTAACACTAACAAGTGGCTGTTTGTGGTTACGGACATCGAAAATGAATTCGTTTAAACACATTACAAAACTTTTTACAGGACTGTTTCGGACCATTGAAAGGATAAATTAAGAATCAAAATTAAGAGTTAAATATATGAGTAATTATAGGATATCATTATTAAAATCAGAGAAAGCTTATACTAGACGAAATAAATACGTAAAAGTAGCGATAAAAATCGTCGGCGTAAATCGAAGGTTTTTACAATGCATGGATCTGTAGCTCTCTGCTTTATCTGTCCGAATTTTCTCAAGCAGAGAGCTACAGTTCTGCAGCTACCTCTTCCAAAATGGTAATATCCAGCTGGCCCCTGGGACAGAGGTACTTAGTAGTTGGGGTGTGTGTGTACATAGTCTGAAAATAATTCAATGCTTTGAAATCTGCAATTTGGTATTAATCAACAACATGATGAAATAAAATTTCCAATATTTTGAAAGATGTGGCCCGGGGTCAGTGGTTCTGCACCTCTGATCTACCTCTGGGTATTAAGTAACTGAACTAAGCATGCTAAGTGTTTAGTTATGATAAGGAATGGTGCCTCTTTCAAAATTGTGCCTTTCATGGCCTCTGGTTTAAAACACGAATCAAATTCAATTGTTGGAAAGTTGTTAAACTCAGGTGACATTTTAGGACCATAGGCCTCTTGTTAATTCTAATATTAATAATATAAATTTCTTTAATAATTATAATTATTATAACATAATTATTTTATTTTCACGCATATTTTTACATTTCAGATGTAACTATAACTTTCAGTATGCAGTACCATATGAATGGTAAGGACATAAACACACTTAGAGTCTACTTAAAAAATGGAATGAGGGAACTGGATTTTTTCAGGAGAACTGGAAATCAAAGAGAAGATTGGTTAAGGATTTCTTTTACCGTCAAAATAGAGGGAACATGGAAGGTAATTTCTGTTATAACTACACGCTAACCACTACGTTATACAACTCCTGATATGTAGGGCAGTTTTGTGATATGACCCAGGGATGGGGTAATTGAAAAAAATTATTGTAATTTACTGTTATTAATTACATTTTTTAAAGAAATTGTAAGTAATTTGTAATTGAACATTTTTTCAATGACCTGTAATTGTAATTTTATTAATTACACTGAAAAAATACCACGTAATTTCATTTACTTTTTCAATTACATTCAATTTCTTTGTATAATACATGTGCATTCATGATATATTTTCACCACTACCTCCCCATTTTACTTTCTTTTTTATTGCAAAATAATATCATTGAGCAATTCATCAAATGTATAAAATTCTAAAAACTAAAAGTGTTTTGGTGATTTGAAATAAGAACACTTAAATCAAAATTCCAAATTTCTAAAAAAAAATCTGAAACGTTTCAAAGTTGAAATTGAGAAGTTCGAAGTTAATTTTAAATGATAAAAAGGACGAAAAATGTCACTGAGCTAAAGATTGTTAAGTGTAAACTTTCTCAACAAACAGTAGATAAAAAAACTCAAAAGTTTATAGTACAAAAATCGATTCAGGAAATTTGAATTTTGAACATTTAAGGTAAAAATTTAAAATATAAAAATTTAAATCCTGTTTAGAAATTTGAATATTTAGGTTTTTTGAACTAAAATATTAAATTTCAATATACCAAATCAGTTTGAGGTTTTAAAATTTATAAATTTTAACGAATATATTAACATTCTAAAACTCTAAATCATTTTAGAAGTTTGAATTGTTAAGCGTTACACGGACCCTGATGACTCAAGTGAATTTTTTAAAATCAAATTTTGTCCGTTGTCTGTCGTTGTCGTCTTCATCGTCTTCGTCCTAGTCGTAAACGTTTCATCTTCTTAAAAACCACTTGGCCAATTTATACCCATCTTGCCACAAAGTATTCTTGGGTTAAGGGGCCACGCACTCTTCCAAGGGGAGATAATTATGAAATAGTGAAAAATAAATGGCATCTTTAAAAAAATCTTCTTCCCTAGGACCACTGGGCCAGGAAAAATGAAACTCATGTGGAATCATCCTTAATAGGTGTAGATTTAAGATTGTTCAAATCATGACGTCCGGGGATAAGGTGGGGACACAATGGACAATCAAAGTTTTACATAGGAATATATATGGAAATTCATTGAAAATCTTCTCGAGTACAGCAAACAATGGACAATCAAATTTTCTCAAGAACCACTGGGACAGGAAAGAGGAAACACACGTGAAATCATCCTCCGTAGGTGTAGTTTTGGTGTGTAGTTTGTCCAAACCTGATTCCGTGGTAGTTTTGGGCTTAAGTTTTACATAGAAATAGAAAGAAGCCATGTTAGTTTATATTTATATGGAAGCATCTTCAGGTAGTTATCAAGATTGTTCAAATCAGAACTCCTGTTTTGGGTAGTAGGGTGGGGACACAATGTGGGATAATTTTTTTAATATCTGTGTATTTTAAATATCTTTAAAACTTTCTGGTGAACAGCAAATCCAGGATTACAATTTTTTTTACATTGAACTAATGAGAGCATTCTCCGGTGGTTAAGATTCAGGTTTGTTCAAATTCTGCCCCGGGGATTAGGGTGTGGCCACAATATGGGATCAAAGATTTACATAAGAATATATAGGAAAAAAATTTCTTCCCCAGAACAGAAAAGTTGTGTTTAATCAAATTGACAAGAATCGACATCTAGTAAAAGTTTATTTTTTCTTTCAAATCATGAACCCCGGGAAACCAGATTGGGAGAAAAGTCTTTAAAAAACGGCAAAGTTATACATGACTTTTTTTGTATGCTCTCTTTTGATATTGTGGCATTCTCAAGTAGTGTAAAGTTCGAATATACGTACCCCCAAGTAAACTTTTCCATACTGAACTGTCATGTGTTTTTTACCTAGCCCATGTGCTAATTAGGTTAGCAGTGTGACCCATTGGCCTCTTGTTTTCTTCTGTATTCAGTTCAAGTCTCTTCGAACGTCATTCCTACATCGCCATTTTTCATGTGTTGAGATTACTACTCTCGCATTTCGAATGCTCGTGCAAATGCCCAAACCATTGAAATTATTCAAACGACGACAAAATAGATAGTGGATAAAAAATCATATTATAGCTATTTCCCCAATCTTATCTTTTAAATATTTTTTTTTAAAATAATACTTATATCTCTAATGAAACTCCGGTTTTTAGCTCACCTGAGCCGAAGGCTCAAGTGAGCTTTTCTGATCAAATTTTGTCCGTCGTCCGTCCGTCCGTTTGTCTGTCCGTCCGTCTGTACACTTTTCACATTTTCGACTTCTTCTCAAGAACCACTGGGCCAATTTTGACCAAACTTGGTACAAAGCAACCTTGGGTAAAGTGAAATCTAAATTGTTAAAATAAAGGGCCACGTTCTCTCCCAAGGGGAGATAATCATGTAAAGATAAAACAAAATTAGGGTGGCGTCATTAAAAATTCTTCTTCTCAAGAACCACTGGGCCAGAAATGCTGAAACTTATGTGGAAGCATCCTTGGGTAGTGTAGATTCTAAATTGTTCAAATCATGAACCCCGGGGGTATGGCGAGGCAACAATAGGGAATCCCCAAGTTTTACATAGAAAAATATAGGGAAAAATTTTTAAAATTTTCTTCTCAAGAACCACAGTACCGGAAAAGTTGAAACTTATGTGGGGGCATCTTTGAGTAGTGTAGATTCTAAATTGTTCAAAAAATTACCCACGGGGGTAAGGCGGGGCCACAATAGGAAATTCAAATGTTACATAGAAATATATATGAAAAACTTTTAAAATCTTCTTCTCAAGAACCACTGGGCCAGAAAAGTTGGGGAAATCTGTTAAATGACAAATGACCAAAGTTTCTCAGGCTAGCGATGTGGTCCATGTTTTATCTTGCACCGTAGCACTGTACCCTGTTCACATTCAAACATAATATAAGCTATACATTTGCTAAAAAATATAGCTTAGTGCGCTCATTATTTTAGACAACCACGATTTTACCGGACAACCTCGAAAATACTGAAACTGATAATTCATCTCATGTATGAACCTGAAGCACAAATGCAATAAGTCAAATAATAAAGAGGGTGTGTGTATGGCGCATTTATTACAAATGCCAAATGAAATACAGAATTTACATTTTCAAAATGCAGCGGAAGGTTGAGCCCAAAAATTTACCACACCTTATACAATAGAAAAAAACTAGTCTGTCTGTCCGTCTGTATAACTGTCTGTCAGTAACGCTTTCGTTTCCGTTCGATATCTCTAGAACTCTTTAAGCTTTTGCAATGAAATTTTACACAACATCTCTCTGTGGCATATGGATGAACCCTATTGATTATGAGGTCAAAAGGTCAATGGTCAACGTCTAAAATTCAAATTCATACATTATAATTGTTTGTTAAACTTTCATTTCCTAGCGATATATTAAGAAAATACTATTAAGATGTTTAAGCTTTTAAAACGAAATTTTGTATCATATTTCCAAAGTGTTCATCCAGCCCCTCTGAAATTGTCCCATCCCCTACCACCCTCAACCTCCTTCTAGATACGCACATGCTCTTCTTTTTTCCTTTAGCAGGAGACACAGATTCTCTTAATTATAATGTTTTAATAAAATAAAAAAAATTCATTTATAATTTATTGCATTGCAGAACACATTTTAATGCATTATGTCTCTTTGGATATTGTTAAAAGATTTTTATAGCTTTTTCACCATATTTATACCCCTGCATCGAAGGAGAGGGGGTATACTGTTTTACCTTTGTGTGTCTGTCCGTCTGTCTGTCTGTCCGTAATAAATTTTTGGTTGCAGTTTTCTACGCAACTACTCATCGCAGATGCTTGAAATTTAACACAATCTTTTCTGAGACATACCATATGGTGGGTTTCATTTTTGCTCAAATTCCATTTCAACTTCCTGTTTATCCGTGCGTCTGCCCATTTCATACATGTACATAACAGTTTTCTCAGCAACTATACATCACAAATGCTTGAAATTTTAGCATACTCTTTGGTGAGGCATGCCATATAGTTGGTTTCATTTTTAAAATCAGATTTCAATTTCTGTTTCATACATAACAAATTTTCGTTGCAATTTTCTCATCAACTCCCCATGCATTGCAGATGCTTGAAATTTGAGTACACTCTTTGTTCAGGCATGCCATATGGTGGGATTCATTTTCGTTTACTTCTGATGTGAACTTCCTGTTTATCTGTGCGTCTGTCCATACCATACATAATAATATCTTTTTTCGCAGTTTCTCAGCAACTTCTCATTACAGATGCTTGAAATTTTAGCACATACTTTGTTGAGGCATGCCATATGGTGGAATTTATTTCTATATGAATTTGATGTCAACTTCCTATTTATCCGTGCATCTGCTCGTAACTGAACTCGTGTATATTCAAATCAGAGCGGTGTATTACTAGTGCGGCTGCGCATTGGCTCACAGACTTCTTATCTCATTTTAGTTATTTATATCAGCAAATAAAGGCTATGGACCTCTGGGAAATATTGCCATAGACGATATCCAGATAAAAATCAATCGACAGGGTATTTAGATTATTTTTTTTAATTCAAGTACAGTTAATCAGTACATTTATTTAAACCTTTATTGTATCAATCGAATTCGATCAGCCACAAGTAATAAAAATTAGAATTGATTGAAAGTCGCAAATATCTCAAGTTAAAATATCTCATGTTTTCCAAGTTAAAATTTTTACATTTTATTACGTGCGTTTGTGGCCGGTCGGGAGGGATGCTCACTCCTCCATGGTACCTGATCCAACCTCTGATGTTTTTGGAGGTCCGTGTTTGCTCTGCTCCTATTTAAATTTGTATTTTTATGGGTTTTTTTTTTTGAATGCAGATCATTACCTCCACATGATTCATTAAAAAATTTTTGGCACGTTAAATATCAAATATTTTTTTTTAAAAACCTGGAAAACGCCAAACATTCCGGACTAAATATGAGTTAGAGTACCTTAACATACTAATAAAGGTTTTTGTACTGATTGATTGATTGATTGTATATTGTGTAACGTCCCTCTTAAGTGAAAGGACAGTTTTAGAAAGTAGTAATGATTATTTTTCCACTCTAGTCTACTCGATTTTACCGGAATACCTCGTACAAGCATTTTGTCTGCAAAGTGAATTATTTTTATATATTTTCAAATTGTACTCCTTTTGAAAATTAGCATTCAGTCTAGTTTATGAACTACATGTAGATAATGTTTTATAATAAAATAAAGTGAAATATGCGTGGTAATATTCAAAATAAAGTTTTCTATTTTAAAAGTCCATTTTATCGATTCGATGAAAATTGTTTAGAAATTTTCTGTGAATTATCTTCTACATATTTTAATTTGATGAAATAGATTTTTAATCAAGTATACTGATTAAATTTAATAAAAATGTACCTGCTGACTTCCTTATTTAGATCTAAAATATAATTGGATGAATCAGAATGAGAGATGTAAACACAATCTGGGTGCCTATGCCATCAATCATCAACAATTACCGGACCAGCCTTGTTTTTCATTTGATTTTAATCGCTGGACAGGTATTATCAGGCCTCAAAGAAGAGGCTCCGCGATTAATGGTAAGTAGTCATTCGTAAATAGGACGATGAGGAAGGAATTGGGGGTATGGTTCTCAAAAAATGATTTATCATCAGCTTAAAAAGGTCGAAACGGAAGGAATTTTTTGTCTTTAGATTGACATTCTTTAACCATTGTTTTATAATTGTTTTTTTTTCTAAATATATGAACTTGGAATCTGAATTAAATTAATTTTTTAGTAATTGCAGGGTATTTACATGTTATATATGCAATTGGAAAATGACCAGGAAGAGTCAAGAGAAAATATCATATGCTCCGAGTTTTACTCAAAAAGTCTTTTTGACCTTAATCTCTCATCTATAAAATCGGTTAAAGGTCATGCACATTATGGACAAATCTATACCAACGGACACGTAAAAGCTAGAGTGTGCGCGCCTCTGTGCCAATTAGAGGGAACATATGTTTTAGATATTTTTACTAAGAGAGATTATTCGACCTTGATCTTTGATCCATAAATTTGGTTCCAGGTCATGCATATCCTTACCTATATAGGCACTCACCCAGCAAAGGGACAAAAATCATTGCCCTGACAAGGACTATGATTGACCTTTGATTGGTTAATAATTCAAGGTCTCTGCTTTACCCAAAAGCACTCTGTAGGTGAACTTTGATACTGTATAGGCAGAGGGGATAGTAAATGTACTCTTGCCCCTATTATTTAGAAATGTTTCGACCTTACCTTTCATGTCTCAAATTGGCTTTACTGAGAAGCATTCCATTTTTTGAGGTATGAGTCAACCTCGGCTAAGAGGAAAGAAAATATGCTATGGACAAGAATTCTTCACAAAGAGGTTTTCAACTCTTTCATCGAGAAAATTGTCAGTTTATTTAAACAATACTTCACTGGCGCTGCGAGCAAGGTCAATGAAGTATTCTAAGTATAAGCTGACAACGCTGGTAATCGTTTATAATTATAATGTATATTCAGTATTAATCCATACAAGACTTACAAAACTATAATTGTGCCATCTCTTCTACAATCTTCACACCGCCATGCACTCAGACCAGACAACAGCTAACTCGCACATGCACATCACATATGGTGTCAGGTTATCACTCATACCACACTACATAAACAAGATTTTTACATTTATAATTAATTTAGTATACAGTTTACTATAGTATTTCAGACAATGTTTGGGATTGTTAATCCTTGACGTTTTAGTTGCAAATGTATCCCTTCAAAACAAGTCGTTTTTCTTCAATCTAGTGTTGGCAAAACATCCAACCAAAGTGAAAATATACAGGAACCTTGGCGGGAACTATGAATATGTCTGGGAATCATTTAATTTAACTTTTACTCGACGATTTATTTGTGAAAAGAGTAAGTAGTTGAATAGTAATTTTTTCCCATAAATTCAAACTATTTGTATCCAATGATGGAAATTGTATTGTTAAATTAATCGAATGCATTTTTATATCGATTACTAGTATTCACTGTTAACTTAAAGTTGTATGTCAAATTCAGAAGAAAAAACTCTTTATCCCAAGAATGCAAAGTATGTGCGCACATTCGAAACGGATGATTTCGATTGATGAAAGTGATGTCCTTTTTTTTGTTAAAAATTACAAAAGTTTAAGTCAAACATTTTTTACCATTCTTATTGTAATGCAATCATTCATCGAAAAACTACATTTTTTATTTAGCTTAAATTTTATCATCCAGATTCAAGCACAATTAAGGACGTTTGCACGGTGATAAATGAGAAAGAATCCACATCTTTACTTAACCCTGCGAACACAACATCCTCCAATGGTTAGTGAAATAATGCCGCTATAGAGTTAAAGTAGTTACATATATAAGTATTCACAACACCAGCTTTTGGTTTTCTTACATGCTATATAGTCGATCTCCCTATTGGCGCAGTGGTATGGATTCTGCTCTAGATTCGAAGAGTGAGGAGCTGATCTTTCCGTCATAGTTCGAATCCACTGCAGAACCTTGAGACCGGTCCTCTAAATGGGCCGTACAAACCAATGTCCCGTATCGCAGTAGAGGCTGGCACGAAAAAGATCGTTTACTGTTCAATGGACCTGAGTACCGATGTTATAATAATATTTGCAGCCATCTACCGCAAGTTTTGGAGTCTCGATACGAGTGAAAAATTCTCAAGAGGGACATTGAACAACTAATGAAATATGTGGAGATAACGAACAGTAGTCAAGCTCAAAATCATTACAAATAAGAAGCAAAGCAAACATGGACCTCTAAAACATCAGAGGTGGGATCAAGTGCCATGGAGGAGTGAGCATCTCCTGCCGACTAGTCGCCGTGTGCTCCTTGTCATGATCGGGAAATAAAGGGAAAAAACCGTTTACAATTCAGCGTGTAAATAATAACCTAATAATTTGTATGAAAAACGTCAGTCAGCATTTGACAATGATAAATTACATATAGTTTATGCACCAACATAAACTAATGTAGACATCTCTTACAATTAAAAGTCATTTGACAATTACAGTAAGCTTATTTCTGGATCGAATTGAGATTTAGGTATGCAAAGTTAACAAAACATTATAAAAACATTTTATTTTTCTGGCCTCCAAATCCTTGTCTCAGTTTACATGATCGAGTACAGAAAAACAGTGTTGAGGTCACACAAGATGCATTGATGTTTCCAGTATCTCCGATTTTACTGGAATTAGTAATACTGACAAAACTTTAACAAACGTAAATCATTCACTACAAATATTCATAATTTTAACTTTCTTTGGTACATGTACCATGCATATCACTTAATTTTATTTGTAGATACATTAGTGGGAGTGCTCATTGCCTCTGCTGCTACTATACTTGTTGTCATCATTATCACGCTGATTTGTTATAAATGGTATTTCATTTCATTTTTTAAACTTAATCATACGTTTAGACAATAAAACTGTTATCAAGATCTTGAAGTTGTTAAAATATAAAAGAATTTCGACAATGGATTCTGAGAATGTTGAAACAAAAATAAAAGGTTTTGATGTCTGACAATTTTTCTCTATACTACATATATTTATATATTATTTTACTTAGGAAGAAGACGTTACAAAATGGAAAGAAACCTAATATTACTCCAGTAGTTAACGAAAATGCCGCAACTTATCGAAGCAACAACGAAACTATTCTTATTCAAAGCAAACGACCAACTGAACACAATACGTTGGAGATGGAAGAAAATAATCAGAAGACACACCAAGAAGATGAAAAAAGAAATCTCCATCAAAAGAAAAGAGATGAATTACCCACGCAAGATCATGACCAAGCTCATTATGTAAACAATGATATGGTGTCCACAAATGATGACCTTTGCAGTGGCATTGTAGAAAACCAATATGAGTCCCCAATGATGCCTCCTGATGACACACATACATACAGTCCATTAATTTATTTCTAATTTGTGACATTGCGAACCTTTTTACATAACTTCTTCCTTAATTTTAAGGAACAATGATGCAAATATTAAATGACAGTTAAATCCTGCGAGCTTCCAAATTTCAGGGTATGCATACATCAAATTATTAAATTTATTTCATTTCCTTTTAAAGATGTTTCCAAACTGAAGATAATATTTTATAAATTTTCTCTATGTTCCTAAGAAAAAACAATGCTTTTTGAGTCCGAATATCACATGTTTATCTATGCCTGTGAAAAATGTGTCCATCAGCAAAAATTATCTTTCTTTAATTTCACTTTTTTTTGTTTTTGTTTAAGAAAAAAAAATACATTTCTACATAGTACACTGTAAATTATATAAGTTCTGATAAAGAAATATAAATATTTTAATTTATGGTAGGAAAATCAACTTTGTGCAAATGTTTAAGATAGAAAAAAAGAATAACTCTCAGATATTAAGCAACAGATAATACAAGTCAATGTTAGAAACATATAAACTTCTTGCCAAACGGCTTGATTACAGTGTATGGATATTACAGATATTCAAGGAAATGGCTAAGTAAATAACACAATTTTTGGTCATTTTTGGATTTAATTTCTTTGGAAGTTATCTCTCTTTTTAGAGGAATCTTACACGATCGACCTTAATGTCATGAAATTGTTAAGTTGTACAGCCTTTCTTTGTTGTCGTGTAATAAATGCTATCTTTTATTTATAGCTATATATGGAGAGAGTACTCTGACTTTTAGATTAAATTTAAAAGCATGAAAACAATTATTTCCTTTTATACCATGAACATTGACTTAGAATTCTTGATTGCCTCAAATTTGAAATAGATAATTTTATGTTTTGGAATTATGTTAAGCAATTTTATGAGACTTTCTATCATTTAATGATCTTGTAAATTAGTCTCAATGATATGATACTTTTAAAAAGTAATGATTAAAAGCATTCTGAACAACTATTTTTATCGATGTGAAATAAATCAATAAATAATTAATATATACATAGAAAAAAAAATTCGTTCATATTTCAGTTTTTACTTTGAGAACTGTTATTGTAGAAATAATTCATTCAATATTTCCAGAAGAACCATGCACACGTACAAATAATTCAGAAGGAAACAAATCTCACACAATCTAATCATAAAATACGTATAACCACTCTTAGCATTATCTAGCCGTATAAGCAGAATTTTTAGCGAGGATTTAATTTTGGCATTATTAGCGAGGGTTCTGATATCGCTAAAATTTGATTTCGCTAAAAATTAATTCTGTTTATTTTGTAATAGCTTCTTCAGTGTGAATTTTAAAATCGCTAAAATTATTCTCGCTAAAAATAACATACCATTTTAGGGAGAAATCACTAAATTTGCATCTCGCTAAAATTTCCACTTATACGGTATTACGTACATGTAAAAACAAGTCATGTTCAAGGTACTTTCTTCAATGTTAAGATGATGACTGGTTATTTCTTGCAAGGCAGGATTAAAACAAACAAAATTAATTGATTCATATGCTTAAAAATGACAAAAATGTAAAAAATATTTACTAGTATTTAAACCACGAAGTTTTAACTGTAATTCTAATATTTTTACCGTGCAGTGTTAACTGTTATTCTAATAAATATACCGTGTAGTGTTAACTGCAACAGTTATACTTGTATTTATCCCATGTAGTTTTAACTTTTATTTGGATATTTATACCGTGCAGTATTAACTGTTATACTTGTACAGGGACGTAGCAACAGGGGGGGCCAGGGGGGCCTGCCCCCCCCCTCTTTTTTCCCCAACATTACGTTTATTATAGTAAATGTTCATTGAAAGGATGGTTGGCCCCCCACTTTTTAATGTAGGGATAAAAATGGAAGTGATAGTAAGTTGGCTTTGAAAAAGTTGGCCACGATATAACGTTTTGACGGTATTAAAGTTGAAATCGCTCAATATGTTATAGTTTGATAATTTAATTTTACTTGTAACACGTCATTTGATTGGATAAAAGATTTTATCCATTTTGTATAACATAACTTGCCTAGGTCACAATGAGATACGTCAAAAAACGTAATACTCCGTTTGACGTTACTTTTAAAATTTAATCAGTGTGAAGCCTTTTTCTGGGGGAAAATTGTCTCATTGTCGGCACTGAAATTAAATTATAAGGAATGAAGCTTATTTCAACTTATATTATACAATATAACAAAACTTGAGACAGTTTACGCTTTTTTATAAACCGATTCGCGGATTATAAAGCGTAAACTCTCCCAAGTTATGTTATATCGAATAATATAAGTTGAAATAAGCTTCATTCCTTAAAAAATGAGTTGTTCATTAATTTTTATAGAAAATAAACAGCCACCTATAAAAACAGATATCGCATATTCTGTATTGTCATAGGAAAATATAGGCCAATCCCAAAACGAATCTTCTCAAAAACAGCAGAGCTATGATTAATATTCATACTTATATGCAAGCATCTTCAGATAGATTAAATTCAAATGAATTAAACCCATACCTCCCCTGCGTCCTTTTCTGGACTCGGCCACAATAATAGAAATTTTATCGAAAATTTTACATGGAATATCTAAACAAATAGTGATTGAAATTGACGTCAAAAAGGAGGAGGGGTTTCCTTTTCCAGTATTCTTTAAAGTTTTGCCCCTGAAAAAAATGTTATAGACCTAGGCAATGTTAAACTGGTTACAGAGAAATAAAATGCATCCAGAGTACTTGTTTTTAATGCCAAAATAGATTCAGAGAGAAAAGGAATGCAAGTTAATGTCGATTTGTAGTCAAGGTGTAAAAAATCAATCGCGTCAAAAAATGACGTTTATCATGTATTGTAGATATTGAACTCCAAAAAGCAAAAATATGCAGGCACAATCAAGCGAGGATCTCTCCCATTGTATAGATCCATTTGCAATATTATATGCAATGAAAGCCACTGCTCATGACTTTGTAAAGTCATATAAACAAGACGGATTGAAATCCTTACTCAGTTTAGGGAATCTCGTTAAAATAAGTGATGAAGTAGAAGAAGGAGACATTGAAAAACAATGACGTTGTCGGACGTCATGAAACTAAACGGCGACGGCGCCGGCGCCGGGTGACGATATCATATCGTTTTTATTTTATAATAGTTTCGTAAATAATGAACGTATCAAGCTAAAAATGAAAACATTTCTTTATTTTCGTTGTTTTATGTTCCTTGAAAATTTTGTAAGCTCAGACTACATAGTACTAATTTTATAGCCTCAGTCCACGAAATTTTTGATTACCCCTCGTATTATTTTACCATTTATCTTTGAAATTCATTTAATTTATATAGTCTAATTATTAAGCAACCTACTGCTTTCTGTTTTGTCCATTGTCGTTCCTCATACCGCATGCGTCGTGTGATAACAATTGAACATTTTTAGCTTTTACTATGAAACTGCTGAACCAATTTTAACCAAATTTTGCATATTTCATTTAAAAGTCTAAAGATGACCAAAAAGTGACGTCCGTGGTTTCTGCCCGTGACTGTTCTGTGACTGGGAAGGGCAATATAATACTGAGAGGAGTTACTCCCCTTTGCTTTTCACCTATGACTATAAATCACTGTAAGTAAAGTAACTGAAAAGTCAATTGAAAGAGGTGTACAAAATAGGTTTAATAATATACCGGGTGTAATACAGAAATACTTAACATATTAAGTTAATTGTCGGGAAGTCTTGTCGATAGAAGATAAATAAAAATGCAACAAAATACCTCATCTTTGTACATTGATTATTCTTTAAATAAGGATTTAGGTAATTCAACTTATAGTGTTCAAGCAGTAATGTGATTAGTTGATATGGTGTTAGTAAAAAAAAATCGGGGCAAGGAAATAGATCTACATTAAAATTTGTTACTCAGTACTAGACTCGATGTTTTATTGAATCATCTTATTTCTCTTGCTTTTGGGCAACAAAGCTTCATCTTTCAATTTATTTTATTTTGTTTTTACTTCTGTGGACCTTTAAAGTTGTATTATACTCAGCTGACCGTATAGGATCTTGGGTCTCTTGTTTAACGTGTAATAATTTTGTAACATTTTTGTCCCCCGCTTGAAAAGTGGGGGATATTAATTTGGGTTTGTCCGTCCGTCCGTCCGTCCGTCTTTCTGTCTGTCTGTAACGCTTTCGTTTCCACACGATATCTCGAGAACCCTTTGAGCTTTTGCAATGAAATTTAGCATAGCAACTCCCTATGGACTAAAGAAGACCCCTATTGATTTTGAGGTCAAAAGGTCAAAGGTCAAGGTCATAAATAAGCAAATTCTGTCTGTTAAAACACTTTCGTTTCCACACGATATCTCGAGAACCATTTGAGCTATTGCAATGAAATTTTATATAACAACTCCCTGTGGCCTAATGAAGACCCCTATTGATTTTGAGGTCAAAAGGTCAAAGTTCAAGGTCGTAAATTTATACATTCTGTCTGTATGTAATACTATCATTTCCAGGCGATATTTCAAGAAGATTTCGAGCTTATGCAATGTAATTTTATACCAAAACTTCCTAGGACCTCTCTCGCCCCTCTCAAAGTGCCCCGCCCCGTTTGTTTTATTAGTATTTATAGTATTACATATGGCGCTATTTTTAGCGCAGGGGCATGAGGAGAGTTATTGCGTATAAAACAGGTTCTCGGCGGACTTTATGTTCTTATTACATCTATTAGAACTGTTTAATAAAGGCTAAATAAATCAAACACCATGGATTGTCTAAAATTTTGAGAAAACCGAACATGAAAACATGAATATATACGTGTATGTGACTTCAATTCTGCATATACTACACTCTCGGTAAAGCGACTCCGTGGTCTAGTGGTTATATCTCTCGCTTCAAATGTGAGAGGTCCCGGGATCGCATCTCGGTCGAACCTTTCTTTTTTTTTTTTTTTTTTGTAAATACTTTTTTTTTTTACTAAATGATAGTATTGAGCATGTGAAATGAAAAAATTATGAGGTTATAAAATCATCATTACAGTGTGATAAATATTCCATATAAAAAAATCGTCTATACACATAATAAAGAATAAGCAATCAAATCTTTGTATGAATATTGACATACATGTATTTTATTTCCTTCAGTATACATGTATACATTTAATAATTCTACAAATTCAGTCAGGGGGAGCCGACTTTTTCCCTAAGCGGGGGACACGAATTCTCTGAATTAGCTTGTTTTTCTAAAGATTATGAAATTTGAATTACATTTCCCTTTTTCTTGAGCTTTTCTTCTGTTATGAACATAGAATTTTGCTAGCAATAAACAGTAATTCAAAAGCTTTTTATAGATATTGCATTGTATAATTTTCAATATACAATATGACATGAAAAATCTGGGATAAAAGAAAACTTTGAATTATTTCACCAGTTGAAAAAAAAATCATCGTTTTAATGCGTCCAGATCCTTAGAATATTTACAAAATGGAGATTTATTTACACCTTCAATTGGTTTAAAGATAACAAATAAGTTTCTCTATCTAGTACATGGAAAGAAAAATGAAAAGATATTCCGCATGTCTGAATCTGTTACATTGAATCGCCCCTCCCCCATCCCTACCCCAATTTGCAATACAAGACGATAATTCAATGATTTTTTTGGTATTGAATTCATTTTTGTATCAGAGCCCAATAAGAGTCTATACATAATATTTTTGAAATAGAAATGCCCTCATAATTTAGGTTCAATTCCAACATTTTTTATGTTTTTTAAAATCCTTTCCGACATAATTAATGTATCTATATAAAACTGAGGTAAATCTAGTTGAAATGTTTTTAAAATTATGCTACAAGGAATAGAAAAACTTTAACACGAGATCAAGGTTTTACATGGAAATAAAGATTTTAATTTAACATATCCTATAAAATCTGAGTAAAGAACAACAAAACCATGATACTGCGATTAAATTTTGAACAATTCAGAACATCAGTGGATAAGGTTTGGGTTACAATAGTAGATCTGAGTTTCAAAAGGGAATTTGCATGGCAAATATTTTCAAGAGAAAAATGGCCGTAGTAAATCAAAAAAAAAAAAACATTTGGTTAGTGGAATTCCCTATCACACCTTGGAGGTTCATTCTACCTATTCCCACTTTTTGAAAATCAGGTAGAAAAAGGTAAAATTTCATGTGGGAGTAGGTGGAATTTTTGTGTAAACAAATAATTAGCCGAATAAACATGTCATGACTGTGAAAACAGTAATTATTAAACCACTGTTGGAATAGAGGACAGGTAAATTTGTAAACCAATGAATTTTAGATAAGACCTTCATTGATCTTTAAATTGAAATCTGGATTTAAATAAATATCTAAAAAAAAAATTAAAGAAAAATTAGTATACACATACAGGTAAATCTAAGATGGGATGTAATTATTTTAATTACTGTAAAAACAAATTAACTTATCAAAACATCTATTGTTATTTGCTAGTGGGAATAGGTGGAATTGAGATTTTTAAAAAGTGGGAATAGCTAGAAGACACCCTAGCAGTGAGGGTATAATTTCATAGTCAAAATTAAATACGTGATTAATAAATGTTAAATAATTTTCATCTAAACTGCAAGGCTAATTTAGTCATATTCCTATTTTTTCCTTGAAGTTATAATTAGTTAAGGGAGGAAAACAGTTGGGTGGAAAAAGTGTTTTTAACGCGTACGTATGTATTATTTTTATATATACAGCAGGAAGTATTGCAAAAAGGAAACTTCAGTTGACCTGCTTAAATATCTTCTTTTTTTTTTTTAGAAAGGAGAGTCAAGTGACTCGACTTAGCGTTTGTGGCCCATAACATTGTGTTTTTTTTTTAATGACAGGAGATCAATCAAACGATAGAGTAATCAAACCGGAAGATGAGCTGTATTTTACAAATCTCCTTTTCCTTTTTGGAAGATATAGTTATCTACTTATTCAAAAAGGAAGAAAAATGATCAAATTGTACGATTGTAAGGCCAGTTATGAACTCTTTAGAACATCAATGTGCAACATTTATTAGCATCATTGACAGAGCATAGCAAAGTGCTTATATGGAATCATGGAGTTGCGGATATTAATATTAATTTTGATTTTCCCCATGAAAGCAACAGAAAGTAAGTTGTTCCTCCTTTGATTCTGATTCTTCCATTCACTATCACAAACTAATTGTAATGCGTATATGGGTTTAAACTCCGAGGAGATGCATGAGGCATGAAATCATTTTCATTATTGTTTTTCCTAATACGATTACGGTAACTGTAATTCACTTTTTGTGCTACAAATATAGACAGAAGATGGGCATATCTGGCGTGTGATCTGCAGGAATCTTTTGTACGAAACATTTATGGTTTAAAAGTCCATGATTTGGTTGGCTGGACATAGCTGATCAGATTTTACAAACACAACCATGTAGGATATTTTTTTAAATTTAGTTTGAAAGACCTTGTCAGATTGTAACATTTATGACCGTTTTCCTAGGAAATACAATAATATAGTAATGTTTCACAAAAAAGAAACACCTATAAGATTAAAGGCATAGATCACACCCTATTAGGCCTAAAATAAAATATTGTTTGTTTGCATTTCCGATCGACCCACTGAAAATGCAACCGACTGAAACTTTTTTTTAGCCATTTTGTAATATATTATTTTCCCCAATTTTTCAGGATATTATAACTGTTTCATTTTCAATTTTTGTCTTCCCTAAAAAAAAAAATAGCCTACATACCTACCTACTACCCAGAATAAAAATTATAGGTCGGCAACTGCAAACAAAGAATTTTTTAAGCTTGGCCTTACCGGCAACTGTGAAAACCGATGCAACTGTGACAACAGACGGCAAAGTTGTTTATCGCTATGACAGAGACCTAATTGAAATCATAATTTTGACTGTTTATAACATTAATTTACTTTCGTTTGGTGGATTCCCGTTTTGATCTTACCTTAAATTATTTTTCTGTTAAATATAAAACTATGATTCCTTATTGAAACAAAATAAGAACAGAATGCAGCTAAATTTCAATCGTTGTTCGGTAAAAATTGGTCAAATTGAGCTAATATAATAAAAACTGCTATTGTACGGTATTTCTTGTTGTATATAATAAATTTCGACTCTTTACGGCATAACTTCAAAATATGGATAATTTTTGTTGTTTAATAAAAGCGCCGCCGGCGTTTAATTTTGTTTGGAGAAATCATTTTGGCTGCCGTGTACAACAGATGAGGCAAACAATGACAGCAGATTTAAAACGAAATATGGCAATCGGAAACAGTGGATACAAAGTTTGATAAAGGAAGAATTACCTGTATCCTAATAAGCTTCAAATTTCGTCAAGACATATTTTGGCTGTTAATATTGGTCAAATGTATGATACTTGCTCTCAAAGGTATTTATGGACACCTCCCCCCACGAGATTAAAAAAACTCGTAAAGATCTCATTTTCTTTTTATTTTCCTATTATACACATGATTAATAAATGTAATAAATATAATTTGTGGTAAAAATGTTCATTAAGTACCTGTGGTTACCATACGACAGCTACTGAATCAAACTATTATTCGATAATCAACATGAACATGTTTAAATAAGACGGTCCATTGGTGAATGTTCGTAAATTTTGTTTTCCAACGATAAGGAACGAGAAACGGATATTTAGAACTGTAAAATATCAAGGACCACAGTAAGTACTTAAAAGTAAAGTATTTAAAAATAATATAAGTAATCATTATTTTTATGTTAATGTTTTATGTAGTTTTAAAAATGGCTTATTTGGGCATTCCTTACAAAGCTGATATTTTTGCTGCAGACTTCAGCAAACAAAATTTTACACAGGAAGAGTGTTCTTCCAGATTATTGTCACTAGCTGCGATGTTGGGTCGACATTACAACTATTACTACATTATCTTGCAGGAAAATTGCAAGAAACATACGTGCCTCTATGTACAGCAGCAGCAGCAACAAGTTCGTTGGAAACATTAAATTTGACAAACCAAAGGTTTGCAGGAAGCTCGCATGAAAGTATACAAGTCAAACCAGCCAATGAAATGTAGACTGTACCTAGGTCAACAAAGAATTCGCCATTTTAAATATTTGAATTGAAGTTGTAGATATCTCGGTATTTTGGTAGGAATATACAGTTATATCATTTTAAATGATAACAAAAACGCTTAATTAGGTACATGTATATGTATAATTATACAACGTCGCACACAAAGTCTGGCTGATAAGATATGGTTTTGTTTTATTTTCATTATAAAAGTAATGACTTTAACTTTTCAATCGTCAACTTCCTTTACTTATGCTGGAAAATACCTTCATCACAAACATACAGAGTTTATCACTCTCAGTTGAGCATGCTCTACGTAGGATTTTCTAAAATTCCGATCTAAATGAGGTAAATAATTGACAAACAAATTGACGAAACAAGAATATCAACAGTCTTGTTTTAAAGTAATCATTTCTTTATTTCTATAGAATGTCCCTGTCAACAAATAAATTTTATCATTTAATATTCAAATGCTGATTGATTACCCCCCCCCCCCTCTCCTATATTTGTTAGGCCATTATTTGCACACTGAATTGTCGACGGATTTTTTTATCGGCCATGACATGGAGCAAACGGTGGTTATTGGTCGGCAGGTGATGATCACTCCTCCATGCATGGGACGGGTCGTGCCCACTTAAGATCTGACGTTTTAGAATTTCCCGTTCTTCTGCTTTATTTTTTATTGGATTTTTTAGCTTGAGCACTGAACATTACTACATATAGTATCTTCATATCTTTCTTTGGAAAATCTAATTTTGGCAGGAGGTTATAGCCAACGATAAACCTCTTTTGCATGGATAACTATTTGTTGTAAGCTTGTCGATACTTGCGACAAACTTGCTGCAAACAAAAAGGTTTTTAAAGTCTGTCATGGTTTCTTTGGCTTCGTTGCAGCAATGTTTGTAGCAATGTATGCTGAAGAGTTGCAGCAAATGTTTGCAGAGAGATTATATTTCTTCCTTAGACAATCATCTTCTGAAATAATAAATTATATAATGTAGAGATATCTAACACCTAGTGATATTTTAGTCAATGAACTTGATATGAAAAAATCATTTGAAAAGTTGAAATCCAGATTAAGATAAAGGTGTTACCGATTGCCATTATCTGTCGTCAGTGTTTGCCATGTTAACGAATATCTGTTGTTCACGACAGCCAAAATCTTTTGACCCACCAAAAACAAATGCTAGCAGCACACTTATTAAGCAACAAAGACCATCCACATAATAAAGTTATGGTGTAGAGAGTCTCAATTAGTTATATACAACAAGAAATGTGACCGCAGAGTAGCGGTTTTTATCAAATAAGCTCAGTTTGACCAATTTTTCTTGAATAACGATTGAAATTTAACTTTATTCTGTTCTTATTTTGTTTCAATTAGAAATCATAGCTTTATATTCAACAGAAAAATAGTTTAAGGTTAGATCAAAACGGGAAACCAACAAGCGAAAGTAAATGAATGTTATAAATAGTCAAAATTATGATTTCAATTAGGTCTCTGTCATAGCGATAAACAACTTTGCCGTCTGTTGTCACAGTTGCATCGGTTTTCACAGTTACTGGTAATAGGGTGTGTAGATGATAAATGAATATGTACATAATAGAATTGATGATTGGAATTGATTTCGCTAGAGAACCAAACTGAACCAAAATTTATCTAATTCAAAATTTTAATACATCAGTACATAAAATAAACCTGACAAAATAAATTAATGCCCCATACGAGTCTTGAACCAAAAACTTCTCGCATCTAGTGCAGTTAACACGTAGCGCATATATGTAGCGAAAATATAGGAAAACGTACACTTTAAAAATCTTCTTCTCAATAACAACATAGGTATGATAAGATATGTTGATATGAAGCATCCACAGGTAGCGTAAATTTAGGTTTGTTCAAATCATGACATCCCCCCATGGTGAGTATGCACAGAACCTTAAAATTTTGTTCTTAAGAATAGCAAAACCAATGGAACATCCTCAGATAATTTATATTCACTTTTGTTCTAAACATGACACCTGGGGGTAAGGTGGAGATAGAACAAGCGATCAAACTTTATTATATGAATATGTAGGAGAAAGAATTTGCTGATGAAAAATGACAAAGCTTTATTGACTCAGGTGAGCGCTGTTGCCTCTTGTTTATACTAAATTTCCTTTGGAACATTAACATTTAAATCCAATGTCTTTGTCCAAGTCAAATTACAATTTGTAAAAATACTTTATTTCTACATAAATCTACTTGGTCTTCGCTTGGCGTGGTTAAAAAAAATCACGTGCGGGAAGGGACAAATAGAGACAAAAGCGGGGCTATTAGCATGTGAGTTTGCGGAATCAGGAGCATGTAAATATCACGCAAGCTACTCGATTGATCATGAATCCAAAAAAATTAGACAGTAATTCCTTAATTGTTTAACATATTCAGATCTAGAGAAGCAGTTCATCTACGTAGAAAAGGAAATGACATGGACTGAAGCACTTGATTATTGCAAACGGAATAATTCAGTACTGTCTGCCCTCAGCCACAAAGATTTAACATTTATAAGGACGTTTAACCAAAGAACTGAAGAGTTATGGACAAGTTCTTATGTATATGCAACCCCTTATATATCAATAATACGTGAGCTAATATATCATGAAATGGCATAATTAAGATCAATTTATGTACCGTTAAGTCTTTGACATTAATTCATCAATACTCAATCATTTTGCGATGAAAGTAAAATCATTATGTAATTTTATGTTGTTTAGGCATTAATTTTTTCAGATACTTCCAAATCTTTAGCAGAATATACACTATACATGTCTTTAAATGAGGAGGAAATATACCTTTGTTTCCTTGTGCATCTGTAAATATGCCATTTGATATTATTAATTGTTCATGATCAGTGAACATTTAATATTATACAATTATGGACTTCAGTGTAGGTCGATATGTGGTTATAAGGACTCATGGCAAGTGATATTGACCGAAGACACAGAAAGTGATAGAGACCGAGCCTGCGAGCCTGTGTCTGAGGTCAATATCAATTGCCATGAGTCCTTATAACCACATATTGACCGTTCACTGAAGTCCATAAAAGTTATATTATATAATCACTCAAATTGAATGCACGGACACAGTCCTAACACAACGGACTTGGCTGTAATTACCTCACAATGGTTAGATTCACGTTTCTTTTATTGTGACGTCACGTTCTACGTAACTTCAGTGCAACCGAACGGCGTGTCGTGCGATATCATTTTCCGCGGACGCGCTTTCGCGTCGCTATCGCGAAAGGAGGAATGTCACGTGACGTCCTTTCAGGCAATGAAAACTACGAAAATAATCCTCTTATATAATTTTATGGTATAATGTCCCTTTCAACTAATTTGTATTTTTTTATTTCTTCAAAGGTTGCTTCCGAAATACAACAAGCTTAAACTTCTCGAGTTTAATGAATCCCTCGATACTGGATTGTTATGATATGTGTTCCTCTTCATCTGTGCTTGCTATCATGGTAAAACATGTGATTCATTGTATAGATTTTTTGATTTTAAACTTAATTAATGAATCAAAATATTTCTAAATCACGATTTAATTTTAAAGATTTTTTTCCTTTACAAGAGGAAAGGTTAATATGTTATTTGATTGTAGGATAATGAATGCGCTTGTTCAGACGATATCTACATGCCAATTTATGTGGCATTCCATGTGATGGTACATTTTTCTGTGGAGGGAAAGACACCATGAATGTGTACTCTGTCGGTAAAGTAATTTTTACTGGATTAAAACATTCATTCTTTTTTTTAGGAATCTGTAATATCGTTCACACATTAATTTTAAATATAGCAATATGTCACTTGTGACCTATTGCTATCTGTTTTTGTCCCTCATTGTGGGGGCTAACGCTTTGTCTCGATCGTGCGTAAACTCTCATATTTTTAACTTTTCTTAAGAACTATTGGACCAATTTTAATCAAACTTGCCACAGTATCTTAGGGATAGGAAATTCAAGTCTGTTCAAATAAAGGTCGATTTTCCTTTCTTAAGAGATACAATTAAGAAAAGGCAAAATTAGGACTGGGTCATTTAAAAATTCTTCCCAAGAAATTTTACATTGAAACAACACGAAGAAAAGTTTTAAATACTTCTTAACAACAGCAAATCCATAATTGGTTGTTAAATATAGAAACATTGTCAGGAAGTGCAGATTCAAGTTTGTTCAAATCATGACCTTGGAGGCAGGGTCTTCTTCAGGTAGTACAGATTATAAGTTAAGACCGCGGAACATTAACTGGCAAGATTGGGACAGGGAGTTATCAAATTTTATTTGGGAATCTATACTTATAAATTAATAAACTTTGCAAATAAACTCCGAAACGGGTGCACAAGAGGTCTTACTTACCCCTCTAATACTACACTACATACAAGATGATGTCCGTAAACTATATTTAGATTTCACTCGGATAGTAAGTATTGTACACAAAATTTAAAGTCTACCTCAATTTTCTGAAAACAGCCATGAAATAGCATCAACGTGAGTATTGTGGCGTTTCCGGTTGGCGGATCTAAGCGACTGACACATTTTAATGAAACTGACAACAAACAATCTATTATTTATTTCATAAGATGTCATCACTGAATTTTTCAATCAAAACTTGATTTAATTGATATAAAAGAAATAAGTTGTGGTAACCAATTAAAAAGAGAAAAGTGTAAATTATTTTCGTCAATCACCGATCTCAATATTGACGGAAGCTTCTAGAACATCACGTCCCTTTTGCTACATTGTTTCAATCAAGAAATAATTATAAATATTGTAATTAAAGGGTTATTTGATTAAATAGTTTTACAACAAATGATGTTATATAAATTGAAATACAATAAAAACAATAGTTTTTAAAAACGAGCAAAATATGCTTGGAATTTATCAAAAACATATTGTTGCCGGGAAAAACACTAATATTTATTGATGAAAGGATTAAATGAGTAGACAAATGGTACATGTATCAAGCGATGGATAGTATGAGTATCCGATCTGGATATATGGCAATCCGACAGTGAGGTATCAAAAGTTGATGACGAGTGAATGACAAATGAAAATATTTTAAATGTAGGAAATACATATATCGAAAGACTAAAATAGATATGTAGTGTATATATACATTTTTTGTATGATTTTGTTATGAGTTTATCGGTAATAACTGTATTTTCCGTACTGAGAGCATTGTGGTAACGAATCCGACGTACAATTTGTAATCAACTTAATTGCGTTCAATAAGGGAAAACTTACAAATAAGGTATTGTTCAAATACAATTAATTACAGCTATAAAGTTTTGTGCTTTAATAGACATTTCAGTTTTTTCTCTCTTAAAAAAGTCTTTCTCCAATGCCAACTTCTTTCAGAACCAAATTTTTGGTATTCAACATTACATTTCCCTTATATAAATTTCCTGTAGTATTAACCTTTCACTGAACATTTCCAATAGTAAAAGTATTGGTGGGAAAAAAGTTGGGGGCAGCCTTTTTACGTATCGATAAGGGTACATATATAATTATAAACCAAGACCAAAGTACCTGTGAATTTTTACCCCTCCCCCAACTCCCCAAAATCAATTTATTTGTATATCATGTATATTCGTTGCTTTTATCCTTCATGAAAATGAAATAAGAATATTTGAAATGCAATATCCATAACATTGTATAAAGTTTTTTTTTTTTTTTTTTTTTTTCAAGTTTTCACAAAAAGTGGGTGGGAATGGTGACGTACATTTCTTTCATGCAGACTTTTGAACAAAGTATTTATTCCCTCTATAAGTCTGTAGTCTGTCAGTAAAATCTACAACTTCCAACTACAATATATTTAATTTTCTGTTGTAAATGGTAAAGTTCTATGTATAAAAAAGCGCGAGTAATTATCTAGTATTAAGAAAAAAATCTTCATTTTAAGAACAGTAAAGCAACCTTTAGGCAAAAAAATTTGGAAGCATTCTCATGTAGTATGGAATCATCTTTGCTCAAATTATAACCCCCGGAGCAAGTAGAGGCTTGAATGGACATTCAAAGCTTCACATGGGAATATACTGGAAAAAATCTTTAGAAGTTACAAAAACACCAAACTAAAGCTATTATAATTCCTATAAATAATTGAAGCATCCTCAACTTGCATACTCAATTCAAATTTGTTTCAATGATTGCAATTACCCCCTAGGGATAGGGTGGGACCATCATAAGGTATCAAAGTTGTATAGGGATATACAAGAAAAATCTTTTTTAAGAACAGCAAAGTCATGATTGGTTTTATAAATATGTAAGCATCTTCAAGTAATGAGATTCATATTTGTTCAAATCACTTGGAGAGAGTAGGGTCACAGTTAGATAAAGAGAATCTATTCAAAATCCTTCTGAACAGCAGGGTCCTGATATGCGAGCATAGATTTTCGGGTAATGCAGATTCAAGTTTGTTCTAATATAAGTTTCGGGCCTTATTGTAAGTCTTATTTCGAGCAATGGTCCTTAGGGGACAAGCTGCAGAATTATGTTAAATGAGTTTTCATCAAACTGCAAAATGTATGTTATATAAGTCAAATTAATTAAGTCAGTTACAGGGACCCCTCATAGTCTGAAAAACTCGTGAAACTCAGCTGACCCTTAAGCTTATAGGGTTTTTTTTTTTAGAAAAAAAAAAACCTTGTACGAAATGAAATGTTATATTTTTTCCATTACAGTTGAAGACTTTTTCAATAAAATACAATACAAAGCAAACCAAGACTTCACTTCTTGTATGTCATACCAGTGTTTAAAAAACGAATATCTCTACAAGGAGGTGGACTGTAGCTTTGAAAATGTTACAGAGGTAGCTTGTAGTAAGTACTACATGTATATAAGCTGTATTATGTTATTAAAATAAAGTCAATGTTCTCTACTTAAATTCATTTCAATCATTTATTTTATTTCAGGTACTTTTTTTTCTTGCACATTTGAACTTGGAGATCCATGTTTTCTATTTCAAGCAAAAAACGATGACCTTGATTGGACAATTACTTCCGTATGTATAAATGTTCTTGATTTTAATCCCTTTTCTGAATCTCAATCTTTTTTGGGTAGCTGCACAAGTTGCCAATTATTAAATAACTTAAAGTAATATTTTATTTAAATGATATGGGGGTAAAATGTTAAATTTAATCGTTAAAATGATATTAGTTCATGATAACCGCTTTTCTTCTTTGACAGAAGACAACACTTATGTTTTAGAATAAAATATAAACATACATCATTAAACAGAACTCATAATAAAAAGTATTATACTTTCATGTTAAATACTAAAATCTGATTGGTTTAGACGCAGTTAACAATTCTTTCGATTACCCTGAGCCTTAGCAACACACGTGACAACGGGTAACACAACGGTAATGCCACATGCGTGGAAATTATGCACGTACGGTTCACCGTAGAATTCTCAAAACGTCAGTTGCGCGTTTGAATTAAATAACCGGAATTAACTTGACGTCAATAAAAGCTTGCGTCCGATATAGCTTACTTGAAAACAACAAACGACAGACGATACATGATTGCGAGTGTAGGAAACATGCTTGCAAGCCAGAAATAACGAAACTTTATATGATATATGACTCTAATTCGAGTATCAAACAAAGAATAAGGAGAATTTAGTGAACTGGTGAGTGTGAAAGCTTTCTATACATGAACGTAAAGACGATCGACGGGTTTTTTTTTGCTGACGTCCTAAATCAATAAGACATTCAGTATAATAAAATAAATGCTGCCTGTTTTGGAGGGTAATATTTGAAATTGACACCCCTCGGAAAACCATTGTCAACCTCCGCTGACGCATCGGTTGACAATGGTTTTCCTTGGGGTGTCAATTTCAAATGTTACCCTCCAAAACAGGCACCATTTATATAATATATAATTGTCAGGGAATATTTCAGGGCAACACAACAATTGGACCACAGAAAGCTTATCAAGGGTCAAACTATGCATTTGTTAACGACAGCAGTGGTGACTATAAACCACAAAGTCGAGCAATTCTTAGGTCAAATAATTACTTTTCTGGTAAGTATTAAGTAATTGCTTCCTGGAGTAAAATAAATCTCGTTTTAAGGATACCCTCAATACCGAACTAATGGAAATTCATATTTATGATTGACAAGGAAATATATCTATAGAAAATGTAAATTACTTGTACATGTAATTTACCTGTCAATAAATCTGTACTTATTTAACGTGTGTGATGGTTCGAGAACTTTTTAATTTATATAAAAAATTGACGAACATTACTTTTTTACAAAAAGGTTCAGCACTTAACTTATTCCAAAGGATTTTAAAAAGGGTTTCTTATCATGACTCATAACACATCAAAACAGCTTTGTTTAATATTCTGAAAATGTTACTATTAAGACTCGTCACGTTATGTGACCGTCACGTGATTCTAACATTTATACTTGAGGTTACATATAAATTTCAGTAATGCAAGGGCGTAACCAAGTTTAAATTCAAAAATAAGTTTTTATATATAATTATTTTTAAAACTCATTAAAGTTTTTGAAAATATGCCGCGATTGATCGTACTCTTTCATTGTTAAAATCCTTTTTGTATGTTTGTATGGTAAATTTTGTGCTGATCAAGTACATTTTGTCAAAATGACTAATTCGTTTTTCAAGATTTCAACAGGATCGCAGCACTTTTCATAAGAGCTTAATATTTTTAAAATCAATGTGTAAAAGCGTACTATGATCCTTTAAATGTATGGCCTTCAATAGAACGAGTTATCAAGATCCTTACATTACTCCCCAATGTACCCCTAAATAAAGATAAGACAGCAAGAAATTTACGAAAAAAAATATGAGTAAAATCATAAAACAGACATTGCTCTTAAATTTATACATGCAAAAAATATTTTATTTAATTATAAACTCCATTTTTATTGTAAAAATATTTCTTGACCTGCCTCTCACTGCAAACTAGTCATGTTTATGTAATGACGTCAGATCGATAGGTTTATAGCGATTAATGACTTGTTTATACCATGTGATGTGGATATAACTAACGACAAAACAGCATGTTATAGTAAGTTTTAATGTAGTTTAATTCTCTTGCAAATCACTTCATCCAGGGGTATTTTAAAGAATTTGTAGATATATGTGATGTCATAGTTAACTTTTTTTGTAGTCTTAACTGTGCTGCGGGATAGACACCTCAAAAGTAATCGAATCTATCAAGCAAAAGATCATAAAACAAGACTTGATATTTTAAAACCCAAACGCCACTTTTCCATGTCTTCCACATCCATAGCCTAAAATTAATAAAACTGTTTGCTTACCAATCAGAAATAAACAATTTTTTTACTGAAGGTTAAGAGTCTGCATGAAATAGACGACTTTCACATTTATAAAAGTTATTCCCCTTTGAGGGGTCAATCCGGTGTAACGTTGAATATTGACCCGAGTTGAAAATTGACCCGAGGGTCATTTTTCAACGTTGAATATTGAACCGGGGTCATTTTTCAACGTTGAATATTGAGACTAAAAGTCGTTGAATTTATACCCGGGGTCATTTTTCAACAGCTTGATATTTTTTTTTCTTACACTTGATGACTTCAACAAGTTGAAAATTGACCCTGTTGAATATTGACCCCACCTCAAAGTTTGAACATTTTTTTAGCTGGGAAGTTGTTTTACGGGATTTATCAGTATCACTTTATTTATATTTCGTTTTCATTTTTTTCTCCTTTTTTATAAGAATAATAGAAATAAACATACAGTATCACCCCGTGTCTATCACACATACTGTATTTGATTTTACGTACTCACTATATGTATACAAAAAAAAGATTTTGTATATATATATATAGTGATTACCTAAAATAAAAACAGTATGTTACTGGCCCCTGTGGTGTCTATATGTACATTTTGATCAGTGCACGGTTTCAGTTATCTTCGCAGGGGCATAGCAACAGGGGGGGGGGGGGGGGCCGGGGGACCTGCCCCCTCCACTTTTTTCTCAACCTTACCTATACTATAGCAAATGTTAATTGAAAACCTGGTTCATTGGCGTCGGAAGCAAATAGAAAGTGGGGAGGCTAGGTGTACGAAATTTTTTTTTGTACTTCCAAAAAAAAACCTGACAAGCAAAAAAAAAAAAAAAAAAAAGGAAACGTCTATTTTCCAAACACGAAAATCCTATTTCGTGGGGGGGGGGGGGGGGGGGATCGAACTTCGGTGCCAAACATTTTTTTCCAAACACCAACACTTTTACCAATTTTAACCTATACTAGCCCCCCTCCCCCGGTTCCGACGCCTATGTGGTTGGCCCCCAGTTTTAGTGATGTGTCGAAAATGAGGTATTAGAATTGGTACATGTACTGAAAGTAGTTGACACTGAAAAAAGTGAAAAAAAAAATCCATGGCATCCATAAAAAACTTCAAAACAACGTCGAATAGGTACGGCGGCGTATGCGTGCTATTTTAACAATGTAGAATTTTTTTTAATCGTTTGAACGATTTAAGAAATCGTTTGTACAATTTAATAAATCGTTTGTACAATTTAATAAATCGTTTGTACAATCTAATAAATCGTTTGTACAATTTAATAAATCGTTTGTACAATTTATTTGTTAAATTGTATGTACAATTTATTATATCGTTCATACGATTTATCAAAATAGTTTGTGCGTTTTTTATAAATCGTTTGAACAATTTAGGAAACCGTTTTTACGATTTAAGAAAACGTTTGTACGATTTTAAAAAATAGTTTGTACGATTTAATAAATTGTACAAACGATTTGATAAGTTGAACAAACGATTTAACAAACAAATTGTACAAACGATTTATTAAATTGTAGAAACAATTTACTAAATTGTACTAGCAATCTTTAAATTGTACAAACGACTTATTTAAGCGTACAAACGACTTATTAAATTGTACAACCGACTTATTAAATTGTACATTCGATTTATTAAATTGTACAAACGATTTTTTAAATTGTACAAACAATTTGTTAAATCGTACAAACGTTTTTTTTTTTTTTTAAATCCTACATTGTTAAAATGGCACGAATACGCCGGCGTACGTTTCCTATTCGATGTCATTAATATTTAAAACAATCGGTTGATAGTCGCTCATATTGTCATTCCTATTCGATAATTTTATCTTTTTTAATCGATGATTATTTGGTTTATATGCAATCAAGTTGTTGTTCGAAAACATACTACCATCATTTCTATTAATTCGAAAAAAATACGATTCCTATTCGATAAACTTCTCATCTTCACCCCTACTAATGTGTTCGGAACCTTTTATTTTTCGGTGTTCTTCAAATTATAAAGCCCGATGTGTTCTGAGTAGCTCTGGCAGTGGCTCTGGCGAGAGTTAGCGAGACTACAGCGAGATAGGGTAAATTATTCACGGAAATGTGGCTAGGAAGTGACTAGCACGTGGAGATATGGTAAACAGAAAAGTTATGTTGCATTTCAGTTTTCACCACCCTATTATATCTGTAGAAATGTACTCAATCGATCTCTCTTACATTCATTTAAACTCAAATAAGTATTCTCTATAATACACTTTTCTACAGTAATGAATTAAAATTTCTCTCTGGACAAAATTTTGCATGGGAACCGGGACTATATTTTTGGCGTCAGATTAGCAAATGCGGCACCAACATGACTTTGAATGACCAATCAGCTGAATGAGAATTGCATTTTGGGTTACTACGAATACTATGGGAATTTTACACTTGAAAGAAAAGAAAACCATGGAAGTAAATTAAAAGCATTTCTTAAAATTCTATCAGTTCATGCTCACAATTACAAAAAAGTCATTTGAATAAATGGTGGAAGGCTAGGTTTCTCATAGTCATACTGCAAAAAAGCGATTTTGTGCTGTCTTAATTCCTTTGTTGTACTATCAGTGAATACAATTGTCAGGTGGATTCCCCGGCCACGTGATCACGAGTATAGTTATGTAGACAAAGTTCTGTCCATTTAAATGCTTACTTGAAGCGCTGGTGTTCTTTAGTAGACACAAAATACATTTTATTAAACATGTTTTTTCTAGCTAACAACAAATCTTTCATAGTTTCTAATCCTTGTATTTTGTTCATTAGAATATTTTTTTTTGATTTTGCACTCCATTGACACAATCATAGATTGACCTGAACCACGTGTTCGAAGTAAAAATAAATTTAGCGTAAACGTTGCTATTAATTGGTTAGTTCCTCTTGGTAAGATCCTCTGTGCGCATTTATAACAATAGCCATATAATTAAGGCAAACAAAGGTCTGTCAGTGTAGATGAAATTACACATATTTTTTTACCAGCGCATCGGTCGCTTAAGTGAGCTCTAATTTTTGCCATAATGTATGATACATTTTTATCCTATTTCTGTTGAAAATCATGTAAGTCTTTCAAAAAGGTCTAGAATCACATTTTTGAAGGACATGTTTTCAAAGAAAAAGACTATAGCAATTTCCTGTTTACTGGCAATTCTATTTATAAAACCGGTTCTACCCTATAATCCTTGAATAGGTCAACCTAAACCACGTGTCTTGAATTTAAATCACAATAACATTAGTAGGGGTGATCTTATTACATAATTTTATCTCTATGATCTCCTATGCGATGTTTTTTTAAATTCTTTTTCAATCATTGCCATGATTGCATTCTGGGAAATATGACAAATTAAACTAGAATTGGTTGTAAACTCAATTGAATAGGAATGTAAAGTTTAACATTATTTATGTCTCTCACTATTTCCTAGATACAAACAGCTCACCGCAGCTTTGTTTTGCTCAGAATTCTATTTCAATTACGACGCCCGATTTACCTCGTACACCGTGTCATTGAAATTGATACATGCTGCATAGGGAAGGCGACGCAGCAATTGGCCGATAATTACTTTTTGAACACCAACCCCTTCATGTAAATAATTTGCAAGCGAAAAAATGTCTTGTGCAATTTTTGAGGCCTTACTTTCAGGAACAATGTCATTTTCACCAATCTGTAGAAAACAAATATCCGGGACATTTACAAAATGCACAATGTTAGCATCGCTTCGAAGATGCCGTAAACACAGACCCCCTTTTCCTCGAATTGACACAAAGAACTTATCAGTGTCCAATCGTAGATAAGGAATGTTCTGTTGAGCTGCATAAACTTTCAAACGCCGTACATAAGAATGGCCAACTATTGCAACAGAAATTGTTTGATCCGCCGCCATGACCGACTATCCCTGGAATCCCGCACATAAACAATCTCTTTTTCCAATGATGCAACCAATGAGTAGTCCGTAATATCACACACAATCGATAATGTTCGTAACAGAAACTAAACTTACAATTTTCAGAGTCCAATAATGGATACAAATGCAAAATCAATTAAAATCCAAAGGGCTAAAAACGTGTGTCCTCGAATCAATGTTTGGCAATAATAACAAAACCACGTGACTCTTTATTTAATTCTCATTGGATAATGCGCCATCTGCTTGGCTCATATTTCCTGGGGCTCAACACAGGGTTAAATCAACGGGGGTTCCAAAAGGGGGCAACTATTTTTACAGGAAAAGTATCGCCATAAATGCTATTATCTACATAATAGGTGTTTATCGAATATAAATCATTTTATCACATAGATTGTCAAAACAAAATTTGAAAATAAAGGGAATAAGGCAGAAGTTTTTATTTGTCTTCAAGACTTAGAGACTAAAGATCAGCATAAATTAAGCTGTTGCTATTTAATATTAAATAAATGTGTTTCGTTTTATACATTGATGGAGTAATTAAAGAGGATTTAGTTATTCAGAATACTAATTTATTTAATTGATTATGTCTTGTATCAATTTTTGACAAATATATCCAATATGTTTTAATATGAAGTACATTTTGATCCTGATGAATTCAAGACTTAAAGGCATTGATACGTCTCACCAATTACGGAACATTAAAAAATATTAATTCAGGTTGTAGTATTTCTTTTTCAGAAACATCAAGTCATACTCTGTATTATCTTTAATTGAGAAATCAATACTCTTTCTGTCTTACAAAAAATTATCTCCAGGCAGGGAGGGGGGTGTCACTGACTTTAATGAAATTTTCTTAAAGGACTCCTGCAATATAGTAAACTATATGATCACAAGAAGAAAACATGAAGTCAATATGCATTTCAGATTCTATAAATAGTAACTCAAGTCTTTATGCTGTTATACACTTAATCATGTGATCAAGTTTGAGCCAATCAGAGAGCTTAGAATTAAAAGTGATATCACCTCTTCGTGCTAAATAGATGCTATCACCTATTTGAATAAGTTGTATCACTATTCGTAAAGGTGATATTACCTTTTTGAGTTTCTTACAACAGTCATTAATGAATGCTCCCTATAATATATATTATACCACACTGGAACCAAGAAAATTCGGACTACCCAGTTGTCATGCATTTTCTACGATTTTCTTGTTGTATACATGATATATAAGTGAAACAAATTAATTTGTAAGCAAAAAAAAAAAAACTACAGCTGTTCGACGGGAAAAGGTGATATCACCTTTTCGAATTGGTGATATCACAAATTCAAATCAAATAGGTGATATCATCCATTGGAACAGGTGATACAACTTATTCAAATAGGGGATATTACTTTTTGCAGTAAATACCAAAACGGGGCCTCATACCTATGAATTAAATCACAGTACTGAAAACCCAATCATAAATATGTGTTTTTATGCTGTTGAATTTTGAACCGGTTTCATGATCAAAATTCCACGACCCGGCTCAGTTTTCAACGGATTAGGGTCTAAATTCAACACCTTCGGTCTCAGTATTCAACGTTGAAAAATGACCCCCGGGTCAATTTTCAACCCGGGTCAAAATTCAACGTTACACCGGGCTCAACCGGCGCGAGACGCTGTTTTCCCTCTATAACCTTACCACTTTAATGGGTCAGTATCCTAGACATCAAATCTGTTTGAATATGCTCACTATGTTTTTCATGCTGCCCCATACTCTGGCAATAAAGGTATAGATCGAAATTGTCCAATAATGTTTCAAATTAAAAAGGTAAGTTACAAAGGACAAAGAGGGAAAAATGAACTTTACGCCGACAATGGAAGATACATTGTAGCTCTTAGGAATGTGAAGTGAAATTCGTCTGCAATTTATTGTTAAATAATTTTCATGTACAGCTGGCTTAAAAAACACCGATATTGCGATGATGCATAATACCGATTTAAATGATACATGTACATGTATAAAATAGATTATTTACATGCCACTAGCGTATTCAACATGTAGATATTCTACATTAAGATAGTTAAATTTGAAACCTAGTGTACATAACGAGATTAATAAATTTGTGAGCAGAGAAGCACTTGCATCTTCTCAAAATTATCGGAATCAGAATATCATTACTTTGGCAACTAATAAAAGTACATAATTTCTTCAACATAACTTTAAAAGTTTAGAAGCATTACGCCTTGGAATTAAAGCTTTCATTAGCTACGTTGTTTAAAATTGAGCATGTAATTCTTTTAATGCCTTTATTGATTAAAAATATCCTGTAGTTCGTTATCAACTTTTTAAATTCAGTTTTCGGTAAAAATTCTGTTACAGATTTCAAAGAAAGTGACTGGTGTCTACGGTTTTGGATCTATCTCCAGAATACTATTGATGTACGCTTACAACTTTACACCAAAAACGCTGGTGTAAAATCGTTCAGAAAGGTTTATTCCAACATGCAAAATGCAGAATGGAATTATACTGAGATTGATATTAAAGTTCATAAAAATGATATTGTAAGTTTCTTGGTCGTATTCAGCATGCTTTGATCTAGTAAACATTTCCATACGCTATTTAGTTTCATTCTTTATATTAAGGTCAGACGAGACGTTCCTCAAAATCTGTTTTGTATATCTTCGTAATGTATGGAAAATATTCAAAATTTTGATTACATTCTGATTTTTAAACTAGTTTCTAAACGTCTTTAAAAAATCAAAACACTTAAACGTTTGTAATTGAAAAATTATTTTTCCTGCCAAAAGGATTATATAAGAAAAACAACCCCTGGTATCTTGCAGAAATGCCTGGTAAGGTACCTCAAATTTTTGTGAGTAAACATGTATAAGTAGCAATACTTTTAATGACAAAATCTTGGAAAATTTTATTTATTATTAAGGAAAGTCTAAAGGAAAAACTAAAACCGCTTTCAAAGAATATTAAAAAGATTTCGCAGACCAACGTATACATGAACAGTACAATTTAGAATTATACGTACACGTTTACATGTACACCACTTTTCTTATAACTAAATGTACGTGTACTTGTAAATGCTTTAAATGAATTCGTCTTTATCTTCGGATAATTTTGTAATTTTGTAGGTTATCTACCATAATTTATAATGTACATCCCTTTTTTCATCGAGTATATACATAAGGAATAACTCCTTTATTATATAGCTAATACATTTACACACAATTTATAATAAATATTCCAACTAAGAAACCCTTCAAATTAATTTTTTTATAGTATCAGTATTCAAATTAACGTCTGTCTTGTTAGCGTTCAATATTGCGTCATTCCGGTGATCCTGTTAAGCGATATGATTTGCTTATATATGTTTTAATGGGTCTAATACGTACTAAATTTTAATAAATTATTTTATTTTAGTGTGAAAAATAAACACATCTTACCTAGATACCACTTCCTTTCTTTAATTTAGCTCTGAGAATTTGTTTGCTGTTCAAATGCACTCGCAAGCTCGTGCATTGGAATAGCAAACTCGTGCCAGTATTCACCGATATAAGTTCAATAACCCTATAATATTTAAGAAAATAAATTAAAATCATTTTTAAAACTTTGATTTGCCTAATCATATTTTGAAAGCAAATATAATTTATCACTAAATAAAAAAAAATTAAAAAAAATTCCTTTTATCAGTACTTGGGCTTAATTAGGTTTTAGAAAACACATACTTTGAATAGAATAAATAGCATTGAAGAAAAAAACAAGCTACGTTTTACACTAATGGGTACTCGGTTATCTACACGTACGTGGATACATGTAGAATTTAATTACTAGCAATAGCAAAAGTGATGACGTAATGCACAGCTTTCTCCTGATACACTTACACGTACGAGGTGGTTTGCGAAACCTTTCTTCCTTACGTCCCTTAACCTGTGAGGGTGTGTGTGAGGGAGGGTATGTGGTTGTGTGTGTGTTTTAAAAAAATAGGCCCTCTTTCCTTGTTGATCGATTTTTATTGTTTGTGTCGTGGGTCATTTTTAGTGCTATATATAATATATATCATCAACTCTTTTTAGATTTTCTTTGAGTCAATTCGAGGTGATAATGGAGCACATGTTGCAGTAGATGACATAACGCTTATTAAAGGAAAATGCAGTAAGATTTTAGAATCATTAAATTCATATACACCACTGTATGCTATAAAAATAGCCTATGTATTATAATTGAATAGCTTACATTTTAGTCTTTAGAAAGGAGATCTGAATTTATTTAACCATTTAAAAAAGAAGGTACGGTTCTAGCTTTCTTGTGCTCTAAAAATTTGGTGTTTTCCAAAATAATTGTAACTGGCTTAAATATTAATTTAGTTATTTTATGACTGTGATGGATCAGAAAAGAATATAGCATGAAGGAGAGCCATTCTGGAAATATGACGTCATTACTTTGAAGCATTTCTCTATTTTAAACAAAAAGCTCAAAATGACCAATTTCAAAAGTTACTTCACTTCATAAAATAGTGTCCTCAGCCGTCACCCACTTTAATTTTAGGATATGTTTTGCACAATTCAATGAAAAATCTCAACGTTGATTCGATATCATTCATCATTGCGATGTCAGCGATGTAAACAAGAAAAAATAAATAAAATGGTGACAGATTTCCACTTGATATAGCTTTACACCTAGAGTTAATAAAAGATATTGTCAAACATTGCTATATTTGCAATGTAATCAAAATAAGAGAGTGTAATGTTGACTTGACATCCACCATTTAAATGTTGAAATGGTAACAATAGTAACAGTTACAATAATACATGTAGTTGAATGAGGAGCAATCAAATATGTATACATGTGTTATGAATTCAGAGGTATATACAGCGATGTCGATAATATCGATAAAACATCGTGCACTGGACTTACCTCAACGTATAAAAACAGACCTGAAAAAAAAATCGATAGGATTTTGAATATTTTTCCTACTCTTATAAATGTATAAACTTTCAGAAAATTACAGGTTTCATAATTAACTTATTTTGATTATTTCATTAAAATAAATAATTATTCTATACATAGATATATACATGTATGTGCTTTCAGGGTTCCACATTCCGCGCCATTTATTCGTAGTTTTCAAAAGCAAAACAGAACGATAAAAAACGGTAGCCAGGTAGGCCTGCTACACTTCATGATAAAGTCGACCAAAAACAAAAGAAACTAAAAACTGAGCATGAACAAGCGATCTTCCTAAATATTTTTAGTTGGGGACTAATTAATCGTTGGATGAAAAGATACATGGGCTCGGCAACACTCACGCAGGTCTTGCAAAGGTGCGCCTGATACATGGCGTATCAATTTTAATTTTAATTTTTCATGTCTCCATCGCTTTCAAGGAAAAAAAGAGAGTGTAAACTTGTCTTGAAAATACAAATATGATAAAATAATATTATTGCCATTTAAAGTGCAAATTATTATCTCCTGTAAATATTTTTGACGTTTTGCCCCGATAACGTATATTTTGGTGGTTTTTACCATCTCCAATCGAACCCCAAAAAACAAAATGTCAACATTTGTACTTTTAAAGATCTTAACAACTCGCCTGAAAGCAGATTAAAATGTTTCCGATTAAAAATTTATCGAATTTTTTTTTACATATTTCTTTTGAGAATTTATCGTACCTCATATTCCATTATCATTGTAAACTCGACAGTCTATAAGCAGGTGGCATTCAGAATTTACGTGGTACAAATAAACAGAATAGCTCTGTTTTGTACGACCCTTTAATTTGGGCAGATTCGTTTTACGTTAATTTTGTGTGAGGAGAGAATTTTCATTTTTCTAAGGTTGTTGTCATGAACTTATCACTTAATCTTAAATTGATAATGATTGAGTAAATCTAAATGAAAATCAACCGCACGTTTTGCAGCCGTTCTATTGCTTTAATGGGTCATTTTGATCTACAACAACATCTAATGGTGTATTCGCTCCTACATAAATAATCTTTCGGCTATTAAAATATAGGTATAAACCCGCACCAGAGCATTGCGAACTGGTTGCGACGCCTAAGCAAGTTTACATTATTTGACATAAGGATATATCTTAATATGAAAGGGGCAATCGGATTTTGGAATGCAATTCACTATTTGCAATTCAAAAGCGAAACTGCATTCTAGAACGCAGTTCGCAATTCAACCTTCCAAAATGTGATTGCCTATGACAGGCTGTATCATTTAAGGAGGCTAGGTGGTCAACAAATTATTTTTTTTATTAACAGCCAGATATAACTTAAATTTTGGGATATATCCTAAGCTGTCAACTATCATTTGCCAAAGTAAAATTTCATAAATTTTTATTTAAAACTTTGGTCATTTTATTATCTTTATATGGAGCTCTTCTTCTAAAGGAGATCAAAATAGTCTAAAAACTTTGAAACATTACATGTATACTGAATGCTTCCACAAAAAACTTGAAACATTATACTGAATGCTTCCACAAAACTTTGAAACATTATACTGAATGTTTCCATAACAAATTTGAAACATTATACTGAATGTTTCCACAAAACTTTGAAACATTATACTGAATGTTTCCACAAAACTTTGAAACATTATACTGAATGTTTCCACCAAAACTTTGAAACATTATACTGAATGTTTCCACCAAAACTTTGAAACATTGTACTGAATGTTTCCACTAAGATTAGAAACATTATACTGAATGCTTCCACCAAAACTGTGAAACATTACACTAAATGTTTCCACAAAAAACTTTGAAACATTATACTGAATGCTTCCACAAAACGTTGAAACATTATACTGAATGTTTCCACTAAGACTAGAAACATTATACTGAATGTTTCCACAAAACTTTGAAACATTATACTGAATGTTTCCACAAAAACTTTGAAACATTATACTGCATCTTCCACAAAACTCTGAAAACATTATACTGTGCCATCTTCCACAAAAACTTTGAAACATTTTTCTGAATGTTTCCACAAATACTTTGAAACACCATACTTGTTTCCATCAAAACTTGAAACATTATACTAAATGTTTCCAAAACAAAATTCAAACATTATACTTATTGTTCAACATAGAATATTGAAATATTGTACTGAATGTTTCCACAAACACTTGATCCATGACTATGAAACATGATACTGAATATTTCCATAAAAAAAAAAAACAACTTTGAAACATTATATTGAATGTTTCTAAAACAAACTTGAAACTTTATACTGAATACGTAGACATAAACTTTGAAACAATATACTGATTGTTTCTACAAAAACTTTAAAACATTATACTGAATGTTTCCACAAAAACTTGAAACATTATATTATACTGAATGTTTCCTAAACAAACTTGACACATTAAACTGAAAGTGTCGACATTAACTTTGAAACATTATACTGAATGTTTTGACATAAACTTTGAAACATTATACTGAATGCTTCCACAAAAACTTGAAATAACATAATAAATGTATCGACACAAACTTTAAAACATTATACTCAATGTTTGAGACAAATACTTTGAAATATAAATTATAATGAATGTTTCACAAAGACAATGAAGCACACTGAATGTTTCTTTAGAAACTTTGAAACCTTATATTGAATGTTTGCACAAAAAGAATGAAACATTGAACGGAATGTTTCCCAAAATTTTGAAATAAAATTAAACTTAATCTTCCCAGGAAAAACTTTTAATCATTATACTGAATGTTTCCCTCAAAACTCTAAAGTCGCCCGCGTGGCGCAGTGGTTAGAGCGTCTGCTCTAGAGTTGGGAAGTAAGGAGTCAATCCTCAAGTCGCAGGTTCGAATCCCACTGCCGGATGTGGGGACCGGTCCTTCGGATGAGGCCGTATAAACCGAGGTCCCGTGTCGCAGTAGGTGCTGACACGAAAAAGATCCCTCACTGCTCAAAGGCCATGAGTGCCGAACATAGGACAAAATTTGTAGCCCTCCACCGGCAAGTGGTGGAGTCTCCATATGAGTGAAAAATTCTCGAGAGGGACGTTAAACAATATACGATCAATCAATCAAAACTTTAAACATTCACAAAAAACAAACCAAACTAATCGATGTTATACTGAATGTTCTCACAAATATTGGAACAATATATTGAATGTTTTCACAAGTATCTTAATGTTTATAAACATTTTCTGAATTTTTCTACTGTATACTTATTTAATTATTAAAATGCATATTATATTTTTTTATTTTATTATTATTATTATCATTATTATTATTATTATTTTTTTTTTTGATACTATGATACTATTGAAAATAGTACTGTTAGATTATTTCAAATGAAATATAGAAAGCGTTACTAAAGTTTCTACTGCTCATTGTACGAGTGAAACAATATATTGAAAATGTAATTGACATTGACTGCAAGGTTCTAATGAAATGTTTCACTGATTCAGATTGATTGCATAATTTTTTTTTTTTTTTTTTTTTTTTTTTTTATCTGAACCATTTTTAAAATGACATATTAAATGTCTCAAAACCCACTAATAAGGATTTTGCTGAACATTAAAATATACTAAACATTGCTGAGACTTCCTTACGGGGATAATGCCCCTTAAGAATTATATGTAAGGCAGCCAGTAAACACTTAATATGTCTTCAGATATATGGCAATTACCAAATGTTCCCTTTTTCTAATGCTGCAAAAAATGGTTATCAACTTCATTGATATCTTCGCATCATTAGAGAAATTGTGTTAAACATTCTGTAAATTGTTAACTCGATATGCAAGATATTGTAAGAAACAGTACACAACTCTTCATATAGCCCTGAGCTGAGCATAATATAATAAAGACTATATAAAAATAATATAGAACATACAATGGTGTACTGGATCTTATTTCTTTGAAAAGATGATAAAATGCACAAGCAAAATAACATTCCACATATGCTGGACAGTGAATGGAGTTTACTGAAGATGGACTCCATCCGGAGCCAGGATCAGAAAGGATAGGAGGAGAGACTCCCCGATAACCCCCGCTGAGGCCAGAGTATAATCCACGATACTCCAGCTGATATCCCGTGGTGACCCAATTGACCTCAAACACAGATTCATAAAAAAGCAAATATGTGTAGATCAGCGGACAGGTTAAATGACCGAAAACCCCTTTGACACATTTTGT